ATAAAAAATAACACACAGAATTTAAAAACTTAAGCCTATATGACTTAGTATTTTTCTATTGTGTCTTGTATTAGTTAATTTCTGGTATGTCATTTGGTCTGAACTAGCTCCCTCAATTAATAACTGACATGCCATCAAAATCCATTTAAACATTGTAGCTGCGTGACAATAAAATAATCATGAACTCTAAATTAAAATACAGGAAGCCAGTGGAGTGAGAAAACCAGCCAATAGCAAAGGTTGACTGAAGATCTTCCGACACAGAAAGTCTTGACTAAACATCTGCTGATCCTCTGTTTGAGTTCATCAAACATTAAAAACCCCTTGAATAACCCATTTAACAGAACTTATTTTCATTGGTTGCAGGATATTTTCTTTTTAATGACTGAGCCTACACTGGCAAAGAGTACAGTTCTATCACAGTTCTGTTGGAAATGTGCCTTTGGATTTAGCCAGGGGTTTTTTTTTTCCAGTTGGACACCACATTCAGTTTTACCAGCTGTCATACACATGACTAGGAACAGCTGGGTATCTCATACCCATCTGGTTATTTTGAAACCTGGTTGAGTTCTCAGAATGATCTTGGAACATGACATCTCTTTATCTAGGCGTGATGCTCCCTTAAAGAATGAAACAGCACTAATGTGGATTATTTATTATTTATTATTTATTTATTTATTTACTTTGCTTGTATACCGCAGTTTCTCAGCCCGTAGGCGACTCAACGCAGTTCACAACAAGAGCAAAAAGTCAATCGTACAACATACAATATTTAAAACCATTAACAGCATAATATACAAAATAATGACACATCAATAACAACACATTAACGTCTCGTAACTAAAATTGTGATCCAATTCGTCATCCATAATTCCGTTTCCTATATTCATCGTTCAATTGCACTATTTATCTGAACGCCTGTTCAAACAGCCAGGTTTTAGTTTTCTTCGAAACACCATTAACAAAGGGGCTGATCTAATGTCCATGGGAAGGGCGTTCCACAGCCGAGGGGCCACCATCTGCTTTGATAATCTGAATTATATGGCAGTGTAGAAGGGGCCCTAGAGATGTGTCATTTTGGAAATCTTGACGCCATGGGCAAGGAATGGCTTTTTTTTTTAAGGAACCAACATTTTATAATAGGTTAGGAATGCCAGGTTGAATTTGGAACGGTTCTTCTGCACCTTTTAATAGTTAGGAAAGATTCTTCCCCTTCCCCTTCTTCTTCTTCTTCTTCTTCTTCTTTGACAAGTTTCCCCATGACCTTCTGGCAAACAAACTAGTCCAATGTGGGCTAGGCAAAACTACGGTGAGGTGGATCTGTAATTGGTTAAATGGACGAAGCCAGAGGGTGCTCACCAATACTTCCTCTTCATCCTGGAAAGAAGTGACGAGCGGAGTGCCGCAGGGTTCCTTCTTGGGCCCGGTTTTGTTCAACATCTTTATTAATAACTTAGATGAAGGCTTAGAAGGCAGGATCATCAAGTTTGCAGACGACACCAAATTGGGAGGGATAGCCAATAGTCCAGAGGACAGGAGCCGAATTCAAAACGATCTTGACAGATTAGAGAGATGGGCCAAAACTAACAAAATGAAGTTCAACAGTGACAAATGCAAGATACTCCACTTTGGCAGAAAAAATGAAATGCAAAGATACAGAATGGGGGACGCCTGGCTCAAGAGCAGTACGTGTGAAAAAGATCTTGGAGTCCTCGTGGACAACAAGTTAAACATGAGCCAACAATGTGATGTGGCAGCAAAAAAGCCAATGGGATTTTGCCTGCATCAATAGGAACATAGTGTCTAGATCCAGGGAAGTCATGCTACCCCTCTATTCTGCTTGGTTAGACCACACCTGGAATACTGTGTCCAATTCTGGGCACCACAATTGAAGAGAGATATTGACAAGCTGGAATGTGTCCAGAGGAGGGCGAATAAAATGATCAAGGGTCTGGAGAACAAGCCCTATGAGGAGCGGCTTAAGGAGCTGGGCATGTTTAGCCTGAAGAAGAGAAGGCTGAGAGGAGATATGATAGCCATGTATAAATATGTGAGAGGAACCACAGGGAGGAGGGAGCAAGCTTGTTTTCTGCTTCCTTGGAGACTAGGACGCGGAACAATGGCTTCAAACTACAAGAAAGGAGATTCCATCTGAACATGAGAAAGAACTTCTTGACTGTGAGAGCCATTCAGCAGTGGAACTCTCTGCCCCGGAGTGTGGTGGAGGCTCCTTCTTTGGAAGCTTTTAAACAGAGGCTGGATGGCATCTGTCAGGGGTGATTTGAATGCAATATTCCTTCTTCTTGGCAGGGGGTTGGACTGGATGGCCCATGAGGTCTCTTCCAACTCTTTGATTCTAATGACTTCTTATTCTTCTTCTTCTTCTTCTTCTTCTTCCTCTTCCTCTTCCTCTTCCTCTTCCTCTTCCTCCTCTTCCTCTTCTTCCTCTTCTTCCTAGTATTTTTCCCACAAATTCACAGGGTCCCCTTTTAATAATTAGGAGACCCTGAATCAGAAAATTATGTTAAAATGTGCTGCTGAGCAGACCTATCTGCTCCTTCACCACCACCCACGTCCACTATTTTTCTCAGGCCTTCATATCTCTAGTCTGCAGGACATAAGGAACATAGATTGACAGTCATTTGCTGACATTAGCAAAAAGTGGGTAAGATGCCTCATAAGAATTCTCCCCTGAAGCTGACCACGCACTTCTCCTGGCATCGACTCTTTCATATTTTCCCCAGAAATCAATAGTTGCTGATTGCTGAGCCAGCAATGCCATCACATAAGAGCGCACTCAAATCTTTTACAAACAATAATATGGCCTCATTGAGATGACTTTGGCATTATGTCAGAAGTTTCCCGTTGAAAATAAAAGTGCATTCAAAAATGTGATCCTACACATGCAGTCCTGGTACCTCAGGATTCACCATCTCATTCTGATGTTTGGATAGATTAAGAGGGGCTGTGGCACAGCTGGCTGGGCGTCAGCTGCATTAAGATCACTACTGACCAAAAGGTCATGAGTTTGAAGCCAGCCTGGTTCGGAGTTAGCTTCCTGTTGCACCTCAGAGTAGAACCACCTTGCTTAAGACACCAAAGAACACACCAGCAGTTGTCTTTGTAGTTTTATTTAAAATAAAAGATAAAAAGTTCAAAAAGCAAAAGTATATTTCAAAAGATCAATCCAAGGTAACATAGGCGAACAAGATCCATGAAGACACAGGCAAGGCAAAGTCCCTTAAGTGCATGACAAAGTCCTAAAACATGAACATGAAAGGCTACAAGATAAATCCCAAAATCTCTTGGTTAAAGCGTGAAGTTGCTCTGACACTGAGGCACATTCAAACAGTCTGTTTAATACTCTTGGGTCAGCATGAAGGCGTTCCTATGGCCACGGGCCTCTCTCTCTCACCTCCCGGCGATCCTGACACTCCTTCACACTTTCAATTCCAAGAGATCAGCCCTATATAAATCACCGACCCCATTGAGGCCAAATCCCTCGTTAGCTGGCTGAGAACTATCCTCCCTTTCTACATCCTCCCTTCCTTCATCGGGCACCTCGCTCTCAGTCTCAGTAGTTTCACTTTCTCCAGTGTCAACCCTTGCTGTGGGAAACAACTGAACTTCTGCCCCCTGATCCTGGTCTTCCTCGTCTAACACAGGAACATCCTTGCTTCCCATCTGATCATCCCCATCAAAATAATTGATACCATCACTCTGCGATTCCAGCTGAGTCACAACACTTCCGACCAATGGTGTAGCTTGTTGTTGACGTTTGCAGCCCGAAAGACAGTTGCATCTGTCAAGTAGGAAATTTAGGTACCACTTATATGTGGGGAGGCTAATTTAACTAATTTACAAGGCCATAAAAAGCTCCAGCAAGCATGCGGGGAATGAGAAAGTACTTCATCAGTGTCGCAGATGAAGCAATAGCTCCCCTGGTGGCCAGAAAAAGTTAAATAGCCTCTGACTGTCTGTCTATATGTGTTGTGTGTCTATGGCATTGAATGTTTGCCATGTATATGTACATTGTAATCCGCCCTGAGTCGCCTGCGGGGTGAGAAGGGCGGAATATAAATATTGTAAATAAATAAATAAACAAATAGCTGCAAAAGAGAGGATCATTTTTTTTCCCTTGGGCTGAACCTTAGGTTTTCATAGACTTACTTACTTACTTACTTAGGCGATCCCTCGTTTTCCAAGGAGGATTGTCTTCCAATATTCTTGTGGGTCCGTATGTGGCTGTGGAGCCCTATTCTTGCTCTGCATCTTCTCCCGCAGTGAGGGCATTGGTTTCCAGGTGGAAGGCGGTCTCGGTCGGGGTTGGCTTGACGCGCCTTCCTCTTGGCACGCTTCTCCCTTTCACCCTCCATTCGTGCCTCTTCAAATTCTGCAGCACTGCTGGTCACAGCTGACCTCCAGCTGGAGCGGTCAAGGGCCAGGGCTTCCCAGTTCTCAGTGTCTATGCCAGAGTTTTTAAGGTTGGCTTTGAGCCCATCTTTAAATCTCTTTTCCTGTCCACCAACATTTCTGTTCTTGAGCTCGGAGTAGAGCAACTGCTTTGGGAGACGGTGGTCGGGCATCCGGATAACATGGCCGGTCCTGCAGAGTTGATGGTGGAGGACCATCGCTTCAATACTGGTGGTCTTTGCTTCTTCCAGCACGCTGACGTTTGTCCGCCTGTCTTCCCAAGAGATTTGTAGGATTTTCCAGAGGCAGCATTGACGGAATCGTTCCAGGAGTTGCATGTGACGTCTGTAGACAGTCCACGTCTCACAGGCATATAGCAGGGCTGGGAGGAGAATAGCTCTATAAACAAGCAGCTTGGTATCCCTACGGATGTCCCAGTCCTCAAACACTCTCTGCTTCATTTGGAAAAATGCTGCACTCGCAGAGCTCAGGCGGTGTTGTATTTCGGTGTCGATGTTGACTTTGGTGGAGAGGTGGCTGCCAAGGTTTTCATAGAAAGGCTGATGTTGTTATACTTTCTATTTCAGAATGGGTTCACCCCATTGTATATGGCAGCCCAAGAAAATCACCTGGAAGTGGTTAAATTTCTTCTTGACAATGGGGCAAGTCAGAGCCTTGCCACAGAGGTAAGTTTTGCTTTTCTATGTTCTAAAGTTGTAAATTTACTTAACAGCTTAATAGATTATGGGAATGAGGGAAGTGTACCACTCCACCAGCCCTCTGTATAAAATCACAGCAACTGATCTTTAGAATGAAATTCTCTACTGCTTACACTTCAGCCCTGTGGCTGGAAATGATGAGCGTTTCCATTCAGCTTCCTGAAGCATGTTCGGTTTTGTAACAGACGAAGGTCTTTTAACTTCAGTTAATTTTTTTGATTACAACAAAGTGCATAAATCTATCTATATCTCTGTGTGAATTAGCACAGTATAATAAGTTACTACAATATAATAATGTATTATAATAATTTATAATATAATAATTTAGACAAATAATAAAATAACACTGTGTAACACAATTTTTGTTCCTGGGTTTTAAATATTATTTCCTAATTCGTTCTATCATAAAAACATGGAAAAAGCTTATTGAAGTGCAAAATCCCCCAAAACAAAGTTTCTGGAGTATAACAACTACTCTCAAAGTAAGCACCACACAATTAAACAGATGTTTAAACCGAGAACAGTTTTTCCCCCAAATTTTATTACAGAGTGTTAATTGTAGGTTATTTATTTATTTATCGTGTCATCAGCAACCAGACATTTGTATTACATTTTTAACAAAAACAAACAAACAGACAAAACACAGAATTTGCAAGCTTGGTAGTTGATTAAATGTCCTTTGACCAGTAGCTGGCCACTTGGAGTGCCTCTGGTGTTGCTGCGAGGTCCTCCATTGTGCAAGTGGTGGGGCTCAGGTTGCATTGCAGCAGGTAGGCTGTAGTTTGCTCTTCTCCACACTCACATGTCATGGATTCCACTTTGTAGCCCCATTTCTGAAGGTTGGCTCTGCATCTCGTGGTGCCAGAGCGCAGTCTGTTCAGTGCCTTCCAAGTCACCCAGTCCTCTGTGTGCCCAGGGGGGAGTCTCTCATTTGGTATCAGCCATTGATTGAGGTTCTGGGTTTGAGCCTGCCACTTTTGGACTCTCGCTTGCTGAGGTGTTCCAGCGAGTGTCTCTGTAGATCTTAGAAAACTATTTCTTGATTTAAGTCATTGACGTGCTGGCTGATACCCAAACAAGGGATGAGCCGGAGATGTCGCTGCCTTGGTCCTTTCACTATTGGCTGCTACTTCCCGGCGGATGTCAGGTGGTGCAATACCGGCTAAGCAGTGTAATTTCTCCAGTGGTGTAGGGCGCACACACCCTGTGATAATGCGGCATGTCTCATTAAGAGCCACATCCACTGTTTTAGTGTGGTGAGATGTGTTCCACACTGGGCATGCATACTCAGCAGCAGAGTAGCATAGCACAAGGGCAGATGTCTTCACTGTGTCTGGTTGTGATCCCCAGGTTGTGCCAGTTGTGCCAATTGTAGGTTGATCCTAGTATACATTTATCTCTTTGAGTCAAATCAGTTTCAAACCTTCCTATCTAGCATTTTAAAAAAATCTGTTTTGCTTCTTGGTGTCTTTCTTTTTCTACACTTAAAATATTTTAATTACTAAGCCCTTCACATATACCTGTAGGTGTTTCATACTTCTAGGTTTCTCAGTTCATCATTTAGCATGCAAACATTGTGTGTGCATGAGCCATTTTATTTATTGCAGGTATTATGTTCATATCGCCTCAAAACGCAACACTTTTTAGTTGAGTCACTTAACATACACATACGTATCCAGCTATTATTCATTAAAAACTAAGTAAACAAGTATGAATCATCTTTTACACTTAATCATTTAAGAACAATGGAGATTTTTAATACTAGTATCTAAAGCAAACTTGATTCTAGATCATACTTTAAGATGTCTACCATGTAAATCCAATTCTACTCCCATAAATAGGGTATAAGAATAAAAGTACAGTTGGTCCTCCACAATCATGGATTTGATTTGATGTTAAAATGTGGTTCTGTGGTTAACTTTTAATAGAGTGATAATAATAATAATAATAATCATCATCATCATCATCTTTATTTATACCCCACCACCATCTCCCCGGTGGGGACTCGGGGCAGCTTACATAAGGCCAAGCCCAAACAACAAATTATAGCAAAATAAAACTGAAAACGAAAACAATAAACAACATCATAATTATTGTTGAAAACTTTCATGGCCGGAATCACTGGGTTGTTGTAGGTTTTTTCGGGCTATATGGCCATATTCTAGAGGCATTCTCTCCTGACGTTTCACCTGCATCTATGGCAAGCATCCTCACTACCTCTGAGGATGCTTGCCATAGATGCAGGCAAAACGTCAGGAGAGAATGCCTCTAGAATATAGTCATATAGCCCGAAAAAATCTACAACAATCCAACATCATAAAACATGAATGCATAACAATATAAAATTACACTAAACACAATCACAGTGACAATGGGCAGGCTACATGTAATGATTAAAAGAAAAACTAATTAAAAACTGATTAAAAACTCGGGTGAGATAAAGGAGAAGCAGGTTATTTGCGAAGGGGGCACATTAAAACGGGAGTTGTGGAATCAAATTTTCCCACAAGGAGAGGGGGGACGTAGACTCCAATGACAATATGTTGAGGCTAAGCAATAGTGTGAGGTTGTATACCTACTCACCAAAGGCGCAGTGGAAGAACCAGGTTTTAAGGTTCTTTTTAAAGGTTTCTAGGGTAGGGGCTTTCCTGATCTCTCCAGGTAATGAATTCCAGAGTCGGGGGGCGGGGGGGCACAGATGAAAAAGCTCACTTCCTTGTGCTTACAAGGCGAGCTTGTGAAACTGGGAGGGGCACTTGAAGACTTAGAAATGCTTGAAGGCCTAGAAATTCCTCGAGAGAAAACCTCAATAGGAATCTCTATCTTCTTCAATGCAATTCTGTAATCAACTTCTAGTACTCGAAGACCTAGCGGGGTGTTCCCTCCAGTAAAAAAAAAAAGGGGGGGGGGGGTTTCCCATTTTTGCAGGGTTCTGTGCCTCTGACCCTAGCAAATGAGGAGGAATAACTGTATTTGATATTTGTATATCTTTTCGCTCTCGCTCGTAATATCAAAGTGTGCAATGCTTAGAAGTATTCTGTGATCAACCCTTGTCTTTCATAAATTTCTGATGTTTCTGTCTAATAATCGCATTGTAACTAATTCTAGGAAGGAATGCATACTTTGCAGACAGCCTATTTAGTAGCCTAAAACCACTAAAGTTATGGGACATACTGAAATTATATGTCCCGGCAGTCCAGTTTCTTCACCAAGAAATTACCTAAATCAAAGGCTAAACAACCCCTTATAAGAGATATAGACACATACATAAATGGTTAATAACAAAATGTATATCTCATGAAAAACTTTCAGTTATATTTTTAAAATATATGATTGGTAAAATAATATTTTTGTCATTTATGAGTAAAAATATGTAAAAAATGTGCAAGAATTCAAAAAAATTGTATAACGCTCATAAAATAACTTCTTACCATGTTAGTGGGATGTACGAGGTTGAATGGACACAGCTTTTGAACATTTCACGGAATATTAAATAAAGATGCTCACATGTTGTCATCAAGCATTTTTATGCTTCCATATTTCAGTGGTCACATAGACACAGAGGTTTTTGTTGAGATTAATTTCACAATTCAGCAGATCAGTTGCACAAATTCAGCGCTTTCCAGTAGCTTCTTCCTGCACAGTATTTTCAATCAACTGCTCCCACAAACTGTAGTCACTCTGGAACTCTTTTACAGACACTTGAGCACATGCCCGGCCATTGTCAGTTTTACTATTGTTTTCCCCTCCAATCTAGATGACACTACAAACTTACCACAGCACACGGTTATATCTTGTCTTAGCAGACATGTTCTTTTAATCAATTACATAGAGGCTTTGACAAACAGCATCACAGCACAAGGAGAGAGTATACACTACATGACTTCCTTATATAAAATTCTATACAATTACACAGAGCAATCTCTGATTGGTTCCCAACTCATTAACTTAACTCAGACCCAGGATGACATCATTCACAATCACCTGAACTAGGCCAGAACACATTCCCCAAATGATTCCCTATATACAGTTAATGCATGACTCAGCATTTCCAATAGAAGCCTATTAGCAGTGCATGACTCAGCTATATTACATTACAATACATTGTAAAACCTGACATTTTTTTGTTAAGTTTGCATGGTTCACCTACTCACTACAGCCAACACACTGACGTGTTGCGACACAGAGTTTGGAAAGCTCTGCACTAAAGGGAGAGCTCAGCTACATCTCCAGTGTTTTGATTTTCCCACCCACTTTTGTGCAATATGGCCACCTTTTCACTATGAGTATGCTAGTTTCTTTGTCCAGAATTACTGGCTATGCTTTCTCTGTGCTTCTGGAGCATTTTGATTTATGCAGAGCTCTTCCTGCTGTCTACAAAATCTGTGCATCACTAATCTGGTTTCTCTAGAGGCATCTCTATTTGATGGTTGTTATGTGTTCATTTGATAGGATGGCTTCACGCCATTAGCAGTGGCTCTTCAGCAGGGCCATGATCAGGTGGTTTCCTTGTTGCTTGAAAATGACACGAAGGGAAAGGTTCGGCTCCCTGCTCTTCACATCGCCGCACGGAAAGATGATACCAAGGCTGCTGCTCTACTGCTGCAGAACGACCACAATGCCGATGTGGAGTCCAAGGTTAGTTGCTACTTCATTTGTTTAACAGTATCTGCTGAAGCATATATATGCATACAATATATCTCCTGTTCTGTCGCGCGCTGGGCCTGTAAAGAATTGTCTTTAAGTTAGGACGTGCAACTTGAGCCCAGCGGGAAGCCAGAGGGCCCCGAAGAGAAGCTCTCAGGGATCTTCCACCACAAATGGTATTTAGATGGCTTGTGAAATATAACAAAGTCCTTTATTAATGAACAATCAAACAGAAACTTTTCTTGTATTCAATAAAGTTAAACAAATGCTTCCAGGCTTTTATGCAACTGGTGGCTTCCTAATCTTGTCCACGAAGGACAGGCAATTGTCTTCATTAACTGTTACTTTACTTTAAGGAAAATCCCTTTTTAACTTCTCCCAGGCTGACTGTAATCTAATCCTTACTGATGTGGGCTCCGCTACCGGGTCGATCTGGTTCTCGAGCACCGAGTGGACCTACCAGTAAGGCCAGTAGATTCTCCAGCTGGAGTTTTGTGGTCTTCCAAACTGTTTACCCTCCGAAATTCCTCAAGGCTTTAGAGCTGTTTCCCTGGGAATCTTTGGAGATCTTTGGATGCTCTTAAGACTGTTCTCCCCCGGAAAGTCTTAAGAGTTGAAGCTTTTGTACAGGAGAAGCTTGTACACGTCCTGTACATTAGTTTTCCTTACAGAGACTAACTAAAAAATGGCTCCCTTCCCTTCCCAATTGCCCTGAGCAAGGCGCGGAACCAAAACTTAATGATGATGGACAGGTGACTTGCCCTACGACTGCAACCAAAGGAAGCCACCTTTGTGCAGAACCTCTGAAACCCTGGACTGCAAGCAAACACTCGATACAAAGCAAATAAAGTTGGAGCTCCTGGTACAGCCGTACCAGCACATCTCCTAACGAATATGTAGACACGTTCATAAGAAATCCTTGTCTATTCAGGTTTTTCTATTACATTTTAATATAATAATATAATACAGGGTGAGGCAGCATAACTTCCTTTTTTCGAAACTTAATAAAACCCATTGTATGAATCAGAATCAGAATCATTAAGTTTTTTAATAATGTAGGCGCATACCTAAAGTTTTGTTTTACGTAGATCAAATTAGGTAGGTGACGTCCCCCATTCTCCATACACTGAGTAAACCGATTTCTGGCGTTCGTCATGACTCTTGCCAGCATAGCAGGCGTTATGTTGGCAATTTCTTCCTGGATGTTGGTCTTCAAATCTTGTAGGGTCCTTGGATGGTTTACATAAACACGGGATTTCAAAAAACCCCACAGAAAAAAAATCACAAGGGGCCAAATCTGGAGAGCGGGCCGGCCACTCCAAATCCGCTCGAAAAATAGGCCTCAACGGCAAAAGCACGCTCCTCACTGTTCCAACGCATGATGGTGATTGAACTGTGTCAGGACAAAACTTTATACTCCCGTCTCTTGAACGAGACCACTAGTGCTCCACTACGTCTTCAACCGACTGAATGGCAATAGTGCCCTGTATATGGCACTATTGAAAGTTGGAGCTATCCTGTTTGTGATGCACCAAAGCAACTTTTAACACACCAGCTTTGGATTCGCCAGGCCATCTGCCTTTGGAGCCTTAGGAAGACAGATGAGTCAAGAAGTGTATTGAGATTTTTAGCAGGCCACTCACCACCCCTGGCTGTGTTTGAGATGGATCACAAGTTGTAAAGGCCTGGGTTGTTGTAGGTTTTTTTGGGATATATGGCCATGGTCTAGAGGCATTCTCTCCTGACGTTTCGCCTGCATCTATGGCAAGCATCCTCAGAGGTAGTGAGGTCTGTTGGAACTAGGAAAAAGGGTTTATATATCTGTGGAATGACCAGGGTGAGACAAAGGACTCTTGTCTGCTGGAGCTAGGTGTGAATGTTTCAACTGACCACCTTGATTAGCATATAATGGCCTGACAGTGCCTAGAGCAAACTTTTGTTGAGAGGTAATTAGATGTCCTTGTTTGTTTCCTCTCTGTTGTTGTGCAGTTGTTATATCTGTTCCACAGATATATAAACTTTTTTTCCTAGTTCCAACAGACCTCACTACCTCTGAGGATGCTTGCCATAGATGCAGGTGAAACGTCAGGAGAGAATGTCTCTAGACCATGGCCATATAGCCCGAAAAAACCTACAACAACCCAGTGATTCCGGCCATGAAAGCCTTCGACAATACATTGTGAAGGCCTGCTTACATTTAGTGTTCTAATGTGCCAACATCCATGAAGGAAAAAAAATAATTACAGATTCCATGCTGTTAGGTATTAGACATAAATGCTGATGTGTCCAGTTGAGATTAAGTAATCAAATTTGGAATTAAGGTTGATCTTCTTTTCTTTACCACGCTACTGTCCTACAGAGCTATGTGTAGTTTTCTTCCATAATAATAGGTTGAAGACTGAATTCTGTCGAAGAAGGTTGAAACTGAACAAGGAAATGCTCTTGAAACATGAGCAAATAGTGAAATCTCATTTTAAATGCCCACACGTTCATGTTTTGGGAGGGAGATAGCCTGTCATTTAGTCGTGCTTTCCTTTAGTGCCTATTTGTGCTTCTGTTGTAGCACCCATACAGCGGTCACAAAGCTTTCTGCATCCATTATCACTGGTAGAGAACTAACCGTTCATTTTCTCCCCCTTCTTTGCTTCCAAATGTGTTAACCTAGATGATGGTGAATAGAACAACTGAGGTATATATAAAAATATTATATATATGTATATGTATATATAAATATATATGCATTATCACTCTTTCACAATGTAGAGCTGCTGCATCATTCCTTCCTTTTCTTCTCTGCATTGCCTTTTAGAAGAGTAGACCTGCTTTAGACTCAACCAAGTAGCATGTGCTAGAGAAGAATGTAGTTCTAGACAAAACCAGGGCTTTCTGCAGCTGAAACAGGTGTATTTAAAACGGACATGCAATTTTCCCTTGAACCTAATTGCTAGCACTGAAAAGAGCAATTCTGCGTAAGAGGAAACAGTGCCAGCAGGCTGTTTTACCAGCCATGTCATGAGCTGCAGACATCCCTGACACACTTTTGCATCCAGGACGTGGTTCCTTAGGCTCCTGCATGACACTTGGACATCAGTGTCAACCAAAAAGTGGCAGGGGTGGGGGTGGGATTGGTTCTTCCAGGTGACTCAGAAATGTATAAAATACTCTTCAAGTTGAGACAGTGGCAGCTAGCATGGCTAAAGAGGCTTGCGGATGATTTTAGAAATGTGTCAAGTTCCCTCTATGAGGTTTCACACATTGTGGGGACTGATTGAATTGCTGCATGTTTTAGCATTCTATTGTGGTGGGTGGGATCTTGCTTTAAATGGCTTAGAAACAACTCACTGAACAGATATGATCGGCTAGGCACTTTTTCATGACGTCTGGGATGTTGTAAGATTAAACTTTCATGATTGGTCACTGTGGAAGACTGGTGTTTTGTAGAAGGAACCATATTAATTTGTATTAGCAATATCGTTCACATCCATCTCTATTTAAATGGACTTTGATGTTGTTTTAATTTGGAATTGATGAAATCTGTTCAGCAATTTATTATCACGTGACTTCATCTGAACTTCTGTCGAGTGTTAGACTTCTAAGGATTGTAAAAATACGAGGGGTATTTTTTTAAGTAAGGTCCGTTGGAACATAAGTACATAACGAAAATTTATTTCAAAAAAGTAAATTTATTTTCAGAAAGTACATACTTCACTCTATTTTTCGACATAGTTGCCAAGTTTGTTCAATCACTTATCATACCTCCAAACCAATTTTAAAATACCCTCTTCATAAAAACTTGCCGCCTGCTCCGATAACCAAATCGTCTGTAATCAAAGAAGGGCGACCGGAGCGGTCCTCATCATGGACGTTGTCATGGCCATCTTTGAATTGTCGTACCCACTTACGCACTTTGCTTTCACTCATAACAGTATCACCGTACACTTCACAAATCTGTCGATGAATTTCTGCAGCAGGCAGGTTCCTTGCTGACAAAAACCGTATCACTGAGCGAACCTCACATGCGGAGGGTGAGTTGATAGTCTTAAACATTTTTAAAGCACAGAACAGAACCGTACAGGTTAGCTACAGAGCGTAAACTGAGCACAGTTTTTCCCGAGGCATGCCGGTACACGACGCATGCGCTCGTTGCGGTATGCGCGCGAACTACTAGTGTCTACAACAAAACGGACCTTACTTAAAAAATACCCTTGTACTAATCACAAGTAGACATTTCCAGTAAGAAATTGATTTGTGAAAGTATAACGCTTTCATTTTATTAACATGCTTTGGTACATTCCTCTTATAAGAGCCAATCGTTGTGTCCTGCTTATATTCTCCCAAAATAGTCATAGTAACACATCTTCTCTGTCTGCTGGTGTATTTCTATTCACAGTCTTCAAACAACCCATGAATTAGTTCAGTCACTGAAACTTGAGTAAGGATGCACACTGTGTCTCTTGATATAATTCTGTTTATGGAACTCTGTCTATACTGCGAGCCATACATTTTAGGAGCTGCTGGGAGGCATTTTTAAAAAGAATAATTTATATTTTGTGGTATGTTTGTTTTTCTTTTTTTCTTTCTTTTTCCAGAGTGGCTTTACTCCGCTCCACATAGCTGCACACTATGGAAATATCAATGTAGCTACGCTGCTTTTAAATCGTGGTGCCGCTGTGGACTTTACTGCAAGGGTATGTGCTATTTCTCAGGAAGTTACCTTAAAATCTTGATATAAGCAGAATGTGTATTCATGGTTAATGCAAACTGTGTTTTATTATTTTAATTATCTCAGATACATGATCGAACCTCTGTATGTATAGGGATGTACCAATTCCAATATTTTCTAGGAGGAGGTGGAATGAAAGGAAGAAACAATAATTATAGAATCATAGAGTTGGAAGAGACCTCATGGGCCATCCAGTCCAATCCCCTGCCAAAAAGCAGAAATATTGCATTCAGAGCACCCCCGATAGATGGCCATCCAGCCTCTGTTTACAAGCTTCCAAAGAAGGAGCCTCCACCACACTCTGGGGCAGGGAGTTCCACTGCTGAACGGCTCTCACAGTCAGGAAGTGCTTCCTATGTTCAGATCGAATTTCCTTTCTTATTATTTATTATTTATTTACAGCATTTATATTTCGCCCTTCTCACCCCGCAGGGGACTCAGGGCGGATTACAGTGTACACATATATGGCAAACATTCAATGCCAATTTTGACATACAACATATACAGACATAGACAGAGAATATCTAACTTTTTCTGGCCTCCAGAGGAGCTGTCGCTTTCATCGTCCATCTGCGACACTGATGAAGTACTTCCGCATTCCCTGCATGCTTTTTGCTGGAATACTTGCTGGAGTCTTTTTTTTTATGGCCTCATAAATTAGTTAATTTAGTCAATTCTACCTTGGTTTGAGCACACTTGAATATTGTCTCCAATTCTGGGCACCACAATTGAAGAGAGATATTGACAAGCTGGAATGTGTCCAGAGGAGGGTGACTAAAATGATCAAGGGTCTGAAGAACAAGCCCTATGAGGAGCGGCTTAAGGAGCTGGGCATGTTTAGCCTGAAGAAGAGAAGGCTGAGAGAAGACATGATAGCCATGTATAAACACATGAGAGGAAGTCATAGGGAGGAGGGAGGGAGCTTGTTTTCTGCTGCCCTGGAGATTAGGACATGGAACATTGGCTTCAAACGACAAGAAATGAGATTCCATCTGAACATTAGGAAGAACTTCCAGACTGTGAGAGCCGTTCAGCAGTGGAACTCTCTGCCCCGGAGTGTGGTGGAGGCTCCTTCTTTGGAGGATTTGAAACAGAGCCTGGATGGCCATCTGTTGGAGATGCTTTGAATGCAATTTTCCTGCTTCTTGGCAGGGGGTTGGATTGGATGGCCCATAGGTCTCTTCCAACTTTATGTTTCTATGATTCTATGATTGAATCTTTTTGTTCTAGATGGGACTAAGCAACACAATGCCAGCCATGGTGTCTGTTGCAATAGTGTGCCTGTTCTTTTGAATTTGAAAATCACGTTTCATTTTCTTCATTTTTATGTTATTAATGTATATATGTGGATGCTTATATTAGACATTGTAGGAGCATTACTGCTTTTGGGTAATTTAGCAGGATGTGAACAGCATCTCGCTACATCTTGCATCTTTGCGCCTGAGTGAGCCTGTCACGTAATTGTCCTGAATGTGCATCCTATTTGCATATGGTTGTCTGGCTAAACAGATAGTCAGAACTGAAGATGAGAAATTCCTTTTCAACTGTATGCATACATTGGCAGGATCTTATCACAGAGTCTTTGCCCCAGGCAGCAGATTTTGGGTGCCACTGAAGATGACACAGAAAAAAGTGATTGGGTGGTGAGAGGTATTTTCATTTAATTGGTTACATTTTTGTATCACCTTCATGGAACTCATAGCAACATACATGGGGTTGCCCTAGCAATTGTCCCATTCGCAAGAGCCAACGGGCTCTTTAATAAAACTGCTGTTGAAAAAACCATCACTGGACCCCACTCAATTAGTCAACTATCGGCCAGTTTCAATCTTCCCTACCTGGGCAAAGTCATGGAACGAGTGGTGGTCTCACAGCTCCAGGGGTTCTTGGTAGACACTGATTATCTAGATCCGGCACAGTCTGTCATTAGGCCGGGACATGGCACTGAAACAGCCTTGGTCACCTTAGTAGATGATCTACGCCGGGGGTTAGACGGGGAGTGTGTCCCTGTTGGTTCTGCTGGACCTCTCAGCGGCCTTTGATACCATTGACCACGGTATCCTTCTGGGACGTCTCGCAGAAATGGGATTTGGAGGTACTGCCCTGCAGTGGCTCCAGTCCTTCCAGGAGGACCGGTCTCAGAAGGTGTTACTGGGGGACACCTGTTCGACTCCACAACTGTTGTCTTGTGGAGTCCCTCAGGGTTCACTACTGTCCCCGATATTATTTAATATCTACATGAAGCTGCTGGGGGAGATCATCTGGAGTTTCGGAGTAAGGTGTTATCTGTACGCAGATGACATCCAAATCTGTTACTCCTTCCCACCTGTTACTAAGGAGGCTGTCCAGTCCTTGAACCGGTTCTGGACTGGATGAGTACTAACAAATTGAAATTGAATCCAGACAAGACAGAGGTCCTCCTGGTCAGTCGAAAGGCCAAACAGGGCATAGGGTTACAGCCTGTGTTGGATGGGGTTACACTCCCCCTGAAGACGCAGGTTCGCAGCTTGGGAGTGATCCTGGACTAATCGCTGAGCCTGGAACCCCAAGTATCAGCGGTGGCCAGGGGAGCTTTTGCACAGTTAAAACCCGTGCACCAGCTGCGCCCATACCTTGGGAAGTCTGATCTGACCATGGTGGTCCTCACTCTGGTTGCATCCTGAATAGATTACTGCAATGCATTCTACCTGGAGCTGCCTTTGAAGACAGTTTGGAAACTTCAGCTAGTCCAATGGGCGGCAGCCAGATTACTAACCGGGGCGACATACAGGGAGCACACCACCCCTCTGTTATGTCAGCTTCACTGGCTGCCAGTCCATCTCCGAGCCCAATTCAAAGTGCTGGTTTTTGACCTATAAAGCTCTATACGGTTCTGGCCCAGATTACTTGTCCGAACGCATCCATCCCTATGTCTAAGATCATCCGGGGAAGCCCTGCTCTCGCTCTCATCAACACCATAAATGCATCTGGCCGGGACGAGAGACAGGGCCTTCTCAGCTGTGCCCCCCCCCCCTTCACCTATGCAACACACTCCCCAATGAGGTAAGATCCCCTCCCTCCCTCCTGGCTTTTAGAAAAAAATTAAAATCATGGTTCTGGGACCAGGCCTTCGGACAGTAGATGTATGTAGCATTTTAGAGGGGCATTGACTGGAACAGCGATTCGACTGATGAAACTGTATTATTGTTTTAATGCTTGTTGATGTATTGTTTTCATTGTGATTTATCTTAGTTGTGGTTTTACTATTGTAATATCAGTGTAGCTACGCTGGCATCGTATCGGTGCCCAACATAAGGCATTGAATCTTGCCATTATTTATGTGTAAACCACTTTGACTCCCTCCAGGGGTGAGAAAGACGGTATATAGATACTGTAAATAAATAAATCTTATATAAATAAAAATGTAATGTTTGTTTGTGGGATTAACAGAACTCAAAAGCCAGTGGGCCAATTGACACCAAATTTGGACACAATATACCTATCAGGCCAATGAGTGTCCATCACTCATAAAAACATTGAAAAACACAGCAGAAGAGACTTAAAAAGGCAAAAGCAAAAAAAAAATCATTACAACACATGCACAAAACTACACATATACACAAACACACATATATGCATATATATACACACACAAAACACATATACACAGAAAGGGGGAAGGAAGGAGGAAAGGAAGGAGGGATAGAAAGAGGGAAAGAAGGAAGGAAGGAGAGAAGGAAAGAAAGGTAGTGAAGGAAGGAAGGAGAGAAGGAAATAAAAAAGTGAAAGAAGGAAAGAGAGAGGGAAGGAAGGAGAGAAGGAACAAAAGAGGGAGGGAGGGAGGGAGGGAGGGAGGGAGGGAAGGAAGGAAGGAAGGAAGGAAGGAAGGAAGGAAGGAAGGAAGGAAGGAAGGAAGGATGGAGAAGGAGAGAAGGAAAGATGGAACCAAAGAGCAAAGGAAGGGAGGTAAGAAACAGAGAAGGAAGAAAGAAAAAGGGAAATAAGAAGGCAAATAAAAAGAAGGAAGGAAGGAAAGAGGGAGGGAAGGTTTGCCACAGTCACTCATAAAAACACAGCGGAAAAGACTTTAAAAGCCAAAAAAAATACATTACAATGCATGCACATAACCACATAAATACACATATACAGAAATATATACATATATACACACACAAAACACATATACACAGACTGGGCCACAGCAACGCATGACAGGGGACGGCTTGTAAATAAATAAATAAATAAATAAATAAATAAATAAATAAATAAATAAATAAATAAAATGAGTTCATACAATGTCTGGTACAAGCCCTACAGATTTTTTTTCTGAAAAATGGATCCTTAACTCCACTTTTGTGGGAGAAGGGTTGCATTTTGGGTGTAGCATAAATCTGAAAACATGTAAAAATAAATGTCTTGGGAATCATGCCATGGATAACATATTTTTTTGTAATTTTAGTGGGTATGATTCTATAACTATAACTGTGATGCCTCTGTTTTCTCCCACAGAACGACATCACTCCTTTGCATGTAGCATCAAAGAGGGGGAACACCAACATGGTTAAGCTGCTTCTTGATAGAGGGGCAAAAATTGATGCCAAAACGAGGGTAAGACTAACTATGAATTCTTGTATTATCCTTTTTTATGCTGAACGACTGTGAGCTGCACTTTGCTCAAATGAATTATGGTGTGTGCGGTTTATTTTTATGTTAATAGTCCTTGGGATCTTGAAACACTGACAGATAATAAAGTGTGGTCAGTTTCCATGTTTTAACAGCTGCACAAAACATCAATGGCAAAAGTCCATTGCTTGTTTTCTGAGAAGCATTTCTGATTTTTTTTTTTTAAAAAAAACATTGTTCCTTGCTCTATAAAGTCCTGTACAAAATAGTGCCTCTCCAGTTGTCTTTCCTCTGTCCCCATATTCCGGAACAGATTTTAAGCAAAGAAAACACACTTAGTAAGTTGATTAAATTAGCTTGACTTAGTTTGGCGGCCTGATACTCTGCTTGCCAAGATGAATTTGTGTTTGTCATAGACAGTGAGCACATTTTACCCAGGATTAGCAGTAAGCACTTGTAATCTTCAATCAGCGATGTTGCTGCTGAGCTTGAAAGGCCAGCTCTCGAATCTACAGGAAAACATGCTGCATATATAAGCTTTAAGATCTATTGGGGCCACTTCTATCTTCATAGTAATCATGATGGACTGAAAAGCCTGACTGTTCCTCTCCTCAAGGATTCTGTATTTGTGCTCCTTCCACGTTCCCCACATGGACCTATGCACTGATGACACCCACAAGGGCAGAGTATTCAGTGTTAGGTGTAGGAGGTATTTATTTATTTATTTAGAGCTTTTATAACCCGGTGATCTCGACCTCCAAGAAGGACTCAGGCCGGCTAACAGCAGAAAATTCAACACAAATATAGTAAACATAATAGCATCATAATACATTAATACAAAATCCATTAAAATACAGATCATACAATATCATACAATTACAAAAGCCAGGTCGTCAGAATAAAATCACAAATTAATCACCATCTGCCGGTGTGGTCAGCCGTTATTGACTCGATCATCATTCTGCAAATGCTATATTCCAAAGCCAGGTTGTTACCAGCTTTCTGAAAGTCAGGAGGGAAGAGGCAGATCTAATCTCCAACGGGAGAGAGTTCCAGAGCCAAGGGGCCACCACCGAGAAGGCCCTGTCCCTTGTCCCCACCAGACGCGATTGCGAAGGTGGTGGGACCGAGAGCAGGGCCCCTCCAGAAGATCTTAACAACCTTGATGGTTCATAGGGGAGAATCTGTTCAGATAGAGGAACTCAATATATTTACCATATTTTCCAGCATATAAGACGACTGGGCGTATAAGACGACCCCCAACTTTTCCAGTTAAAATAGAGTTTGGGATATACTCACCGTATAAGACTACCCCTCTTCCAATGCACACCAAATACATTTTTTAAAAGCATCATATTTGAATTCAATGTGGTAATTTTCCTATTACTGTACCTCCTTCTCTGCCTCTCAAATCTCGCACATGCACACCTTCATTCACTACAGACTTCAGGAGCGTGATCTGAGAGGCAGAGGAGGAGGTACGGCAATAGGATACAAGGGCGGGCCAGACAGGTAAAAGAGGTGTGTTTTTCTGGGCCCCGAGCCACTCTCTTTTTTCCATACCCCGGGTGCTCCGGATGCCTGCAGCTTGCTCCGCCCTTCACTTACACCTTCCCAGTGAGGCACCCTTTCACCTCACCATCGGGACCGCATTAAGTCCACAAATCCTGATGAATGGATTTTCTTCTACTGTACATGTACAGCGTTGCGCTTGATGCTTTCATACAGTCGCTGCATATGGCAGGGACGCAGCCACTGCCATTTTTGAGCTCTCCCTAATATATGTGGCAACCACAGATTCTCCAGTACAGATTGGAAGTTTGAATCTGTATTGCTCTATAAGGTAACTCCCGCCGTATAAGACTACTCCCGCATATAAGACGACCCCTGACTTTTGAGAAGATTTTCTTGGGAAATATGGTAATTGCCCCCCCCCCCCCAAAAATGAAAGCTATGCCTAGATGATCCTGATGATCCAAACTCATCCTCTCTCTCTTAGACCAGGATTGTGGCGCAGCTGGCTGAGTGTCAGCTGCATCAAGATCACTCTGACCAAAAGGTCATGAGTTCGAAGCCAGCCCGGGTTGGAGTGGGTTTCCAACCAATTGTGTAGCCTGTTGTCGACCTTTGCAACCCGAAAGACAGTTGCATCTGTCAAGTAGGAAAATTAGGTACCACCTTAAAGTGTGGGGAGGCTAAGTTAACTGAATTATGAGGCCATAAAAAGGACTCCAGCAAAGCACTCCAGCAAAAAAAAAAAAAAAGCATGCAGGGAATGCGGAAGTACTTCATCAGCATCGCAAATAGATGATGAGAGCGACAGCCCCCCTGGCGGCCAGAAAAAGTTAAATAGCCTCTGTCTATGTCTGTATATGTTTGTATGTAAAAAATTGGCATTGAATGTTTGCCATATATGTGTACACTGTAATCCGCCCTGAGTCCCCTGCGGGGTGAGAAGGGCAGAATATAAATCCCAAAGAAGCGAGATGGCAGTGGGGACGCACCCATAGGTAGTGCTGGGACAGTACCCTGTTAGACCAATACCCCATTATACCTGGGCTATTCAGGAAGGCCCAGATCTAATGGGGTATCTAATTAATTCGGGACAAACCAGGGTTTGCCTGCTTTGTCCCGAATTAACTTGCTTTTACCCGAGGCATCATTTGGTAAAAGCCAGACAGCCTCGCATCTTTGGGCCTGTCTGGAAGGGCCCTGACTGGGTTAACCCAGTTAACCCAGTTTATCCTACAATAGCCACTAAAAGTTGCAGAACAGCATGGGGATTACTAAAACTGAGTGTATAATAAGTACATGTTATAAAAGGATTCTGAACTCCAAATTGCAGAAATTCCATTCCATTCCTACCTCCAGTTAGCATAGTAATTGAATATGTCCACTGCTGGTGTCTGGGAGCTAGGAAATTAATCTCTGAATGAAACATAGACTAAATTTGTTTGAAAATCCAATTGAGAATGGAGTGTATACCATAGGTATGGAGGATAGAAGCTGTATTGTTGAAGGCTTTCACGGCCTGAATCACAGGGTTGTTGTAGGTTTCTTTGGGCTATATGGCCATGTTCTAGAGGCATTCTCTCCTAACGTTTTGCCTGCATCTATGGCAACCATCCTCAGAGCTAGTGAGTTCAGTCGGCAAGCATCCTCAGATGTTGTGAGGTCAGACCTCAATACTTCTGAGGATGCTTGCCATAGATGCAGACGAAACGTCAGAGAGAATGCCTCTAGAACATGGACATATAGCCTGAAAAAACCTACAACCCGATAGTAACTGTATTCAAATGTGTTCTGTTGCATGGAGTAAGGGAGGAAGCCCTGTTCCCTTTCTTTTTAGAGGAAGACCTGAAAAGCTCCTATCATTGAGGCTCCGTCTACACTGGACCTATATCCCAGGATATGATCTCAGATTATCTGTTTATCCCAGATTATCTGGCAGTGGAGACTCATATAGTCCAGTTCAAAGCAAATATCCTGGGATCAGATGCTGGGATATAGGACAGTGTAGAAGGAGTCTCGTAAGTAGAGCCGGTTACAGACATAAGGTCTCCCTTATGACAGTTTCCAGTTTATTTATTTATTTATTTATTTATTTATTTATTTATTTATTTATTTATTTATTTATTTACAGTATTTATATTCTGCCCTTCTCACCCCGCAGGGGACTCAGGGCGGATTACAATGTACATATACATGGCTAGCATTCAATGCCATAGACCAGGGGTCCTCAAACTTGTTAAACAGAGGGCCGGATCACAGTCCCTCAAACTGTTGGAGGGCCGGATTATAATTTGAAAAAAAATGAATTAATTCCTATGCACACTGCACATATCTTATTTGTGGTGCAAAACCACTTAAAAACAATACAATAATTAAAATGAAGAACAATTTTAGCAAATATAAACTTATTAGTATTTCAATGGGAAGTGCGGGCCTTCTTTTGGCTGATGAGATAGGATTGTTGTTGTTGTTGTTGTTGTGTGCTTTCAAGTCATTTCAGACTTAGGTTGACCCTGAGCGAGGACCGGGTAAAAGACCTTGAAGGGCTGCATCTGGCCCCCGGGCCTTAGTTTGAGGACCCCTGCCATAGACACACAACATATATAGACAGACACACAATATTTAATATTCCAGCTTTTTCATGAGGGTATTCTAGCCACCAGGGGAGCTGTCGCTTCATCGTTGATTTGTGACACTGATGAAGTACTTCCTCATTTTTTGCATGCTTACTGGAGATTTTTATGGCATTGTAAATTAGCCTCCCTGCATAAGCGGTACCTAAATTTCCTACTTGACAGATTCAACTTGTCTTTCGGGCTGCAAAGGTCAACAGCAAGCTATACAAATTGATCAGAAGCTCTGGCTTCGAACTCATGACCTTTTGGTCAGTAGTGATCTTAATGCAGATGACTCCCAGCCATCTGCCCCACAGTCCCAGTCCCAGTTCAAACCAGATAATTTGGATTGTATATGGCAGTGTAGAAAATGCTTTAGCCTAGTCCAGCCTGGGGATTTGGGTAATAAATGATTGTATTATAATTGTAATTCATGTACAACTCAATTTTGATTATGTGTGTGTATTCATTCCAAAGAAAGCTTGTCATTCTTTGGATTATCAGAACACAAGCAGGAGGCACAGTATTTATGTAAATATTGTTACTCAAATTCTTCATCTGAAGAATGACTCTTCTACTGGCCTTACATATATAAAAGCTCCTTTGGAAGACTAGATAAAAGAGATGATACATTTAATCTTTGTCAGCGTACACTTAGGAAGCCCTTAATCTGCCAGTAGTCATAATCATCTCGGGATGGTTTCCCTGAGCTTTTGTAGGACTGTTGTATCAGTGGATTGATGCGCCGTAATGCCAGTAATATATTTTATGCTTCATGTACTCCTGCGTTATATGCGCCCAGAAAACAAACCTACTGGAAAACCCTTATTTCAGAAACAGTGTAATTTTTAGGAATGTGCAGATTTCACTTCTTAACCTCCATCTCCTTCCTTGCCACCAGTATTTAAACTAGTTAATTTTCACATCATGTTTAATGTCTTGTTTCCTTTTCTATGCCATCTTGGAGACATGGAAATGAAGCAGTTTATGGTAAATACTGTATATACTCGAGTATAAGCCTAGTTTTTCAGCCCCTTTTTTAGGCTGAAAAAGCTCCCCTCGGCTTATACTCGAGTCAAGGTTATTTATTATTTTATTCCAGATTATCTGATTTGAACTGGATTATATGTTAGTGTAGACTCACATAATCCAGTTCAAAGCAGATAATGTGCATTCTGCTTTGTTCAGAGCATTCTGAACATTCTGCTTTGTTCAGAGCATTCTGAACTCCACCAATTATGGCATTGAACCAAACGTGGCATACAGGACTCCCATGACCAACACAAAACACTAGAAGGGATTGGTGGGCATTGACCTTGAATTTGGGAGTTGTAGTTCACCTACATCCAAAGAGCACTGTGGACTCACACGATGATGGATCTGGACCAAACTTGGCACAAATATTCCATATGCCCAAATATGAAGACAGATGGAGTTTGGGGGAAATAGACCTTGACATTTGGGATTTGTAGTTACTGGGATTTATAGTTCACCTACAATCAAAGAGCATTTGATAATCTGGATTAGATGACAGTGTACAAGGGGCCTGGGAAAGAACACTGTATCATCATCCCTCAACTTTTATGACTTTCACACTCACAGTTTTGATTATTTATGAGCTTGTATTAGAAAAGAAGACGGGGTCCGCAGGGTAAGTGAGACTGCTGCAGCGCCTTATCTCCTCTCCCTTGAGATATTGATGGTCTTTTCTGCTTTTGTTGGAAAGCAGAACCTCCATAAAAGTGGAAGAGAGAACATAAACTATAATTTCAGTATGGTAACAGTATTTTATTACTTTATCCATCAAAATGATCAGTTGTGCTTTTCATATTCCATAGGATGGTCTGACGCCTCTCCACTGTGGGGCACGAAGTGGCCATGAACAAGTTGTGCGTATGCTGCTTGACCGAGGAGCTCCTATTCTTTCCAAAACAAAGGTAATGTGAAATTTGGTTTGTAACGAGGAAGATTATTTTTGTGGGTAGGGGGTGGGCATGCCAATATCTCTGCTCAAACATTAGCAAAACTTAGAAAAGTTTTGTTTGTTGTTGTTTTGTTTTGTTTTGGAAATACATTGCCCAAAATATTCTAGAGCTCTTGTGCTAGCCTAGGAATTCCAGGAGATATTATCTTCAGACTCTGTCATTGAGTGAAAAGGTTTGTGTTGTTCTGTGCCTTCAAACTAAACCAAGATTTCCTTTCTCTGATTTGTTCCTCTGAGACTGAGAAAGTATGACTTGCCCAAGTTTAGCCAGTGGGTACCTGGCTGAACAGGGATTCAACTTCTTGTCTTTAGAGTCATAGGCTGGATCTACATGGTCATATAATCCAGATCATCAAAGCAGATAATCCCCATTATCTGCTTTGAATTGGATTATCTGAGTCCACACTGCCATATAATCCGGTTCAAAGCTGATAATCTGGATTTTGGGGTCTGACATAGACTTCATCTATATAAATAAAAATGTAATGTTCGTTAGTAGGGTTAACAGAACTCAAAAACCACTGAACAAATTGACACCAAATTTGGACACAAGACACCTAACAACCCAATGTATGTCCTTCACTAAAAAAAAACTGATTTTGTCATTTGGGAGTTGTAATTTCTGGGATTTATAGTTCACCTACAATCAAAGAGCATTCTGAACTCCACCAATTATGGCATTGAACCAAACGTGGCATACAGGACTCCCATGACCAACACAAAACACTAGAAGGGATTGGTGGGCATTGACCTTGAGTTTGGGAGTTGTCGTTCACCTACATCCAAAGAGCACTGTGGACTCAAACAATGATGGATCTGGACCAAATTTGGCACAAATATTCCATATGCCCAAATATGAACACAGATGGAGTTTGGGGGAAATAGCCCTTGACATTTGGGATTTGTAGTTACTGGGATTTATAGTTTACCTACAATCAAAGAGCATTCTGAACCCCACCAGCAACAGGATTGGGGCAAACTTCCCACACAGAACCCCCATGACCAATAGAAAATACTTAAGGCCATCCAGTCCAACTTCCTTCACCAGGGCAAGAAAATGTAATCAAAGCCCTCCTGACAAAAGAGCCATTCAGCCATAGATATAGATAGATATTATTCACAGAGAAGAGAGATATAGTATCATAGATTTGAAAGGGAGAAGGCCAATTCTATGTTGCATGTTCCAGAGTAGTCAAACCAGACAATCTCTACTTCAACACTGACAAAGAAACAACAAGAAATAATGTTTACCCACAAGCATAAAGGCATTGTTGTTGTTGTTCATTCGTTCAGTCATCTCCAACTCTTCGTGACCTCATGGACCAGCCCACGCCAGAGCTCCCTGTCGGCCGTCACCACCCCCAGCTCCTTCAAGGTCAATCCAGTCACTTCAAGGATGTAAAGGCATTACATATATTAAATATATATTACATATAAAACCAACATGTTCTCATTATTTTATTTTCGAGATCACCAGACTGGGCCACAGTAACACTTGGCAGGGGACGGCTAGTATATAATAATAATAATAATAATAATAATAATAATAATAATAATAATAATAATAATTTATTTGTAACCTGCCCTATCTCCCCAAGGGAACTCAGGGTGGTTTCCAACAAAAGTGGCAAACCTTCATTCAATTCCATAATAAATCAGACAAACAACAAATCAATCAACTCAGTAAATAAAACAACATCAATATAAACTTATAATAACTAGCCAAAAAATAAGCAAAAAACTTAAATAAATCACATCACATACATTTACCACATAATAAAAACTGAGCAGCTAAAGGGACTTGACTATAGAGATGAGAAGAAGAAAGCATGATAAACATATATGCATGAAGAGCTACGTTATTCTCTCCTCTTTCTTTCTTTCTCTTCTGTCTCAACTGTGCAACATTTTCAATAAACTTGGAACTCCTTCCCGGGTTCACTCCCCTTTCTCTGTGCCATATAATAATCAGGTTTCTCATGATGAAACATGTCTTTCCCCCACTTTAAACTCTAGCCCTGTTCATATGTTTCCTTTCCGGATACAAAATTATAATTGCCTTAAGATTTATCCGCTTTCCCACAGTATAATCTTGTCAAACAGGGTTTACGGGTTTGAAGGTTTTGGCTTCATTTAATGGTGTATATGTTTTAAAAGAGCAGGGAATAGGAAGTTGTTTGTTTGCACTTGCAGACCACAGTGCTTCATTTATTCTTCTTTCTGTTGTTGTTGCTGCTGTTGTTGTTGTTGTTGTTGTTGTTATTCCTTGCTTTATCACCCCGAAGGGAACTCAAAGAGGTTCAAGTCTCTGAACTATTTGTATACTGCCTATTCTCACTTAATATTCTTTTTTAATTTATTGCACAAATCATGGGTGTCTAGGGGCCCTTCCAGACAGGCCCTGTATCCCAGGATCTGATCCCAGGTTTTCTGTTTATTTCTGATTATCTGGCAGTGGGGACTCATATAATCCAGTTTAATGCAGAAAACCAGGGATCAGATTCTGGGATATAGGGCCTATCTGGAAGGGCCCTAGATCTTCAGAACTTGAAGCCAGCACCTAGAATCATAGAATCAAAGAGTTGGAAGAGACCTCATGGGCCATCCAGTCCAACCCCCTGCCAAGAAGCAGGAATATTGCATTCAAATCACCCCTGACAGATGGCCATCCAGCCTGTTTAAAAGCTTCCAAAGAAGGAGCCTCCACCACACTCTGGGGCAGAGAGTTCCACTGCTGAACGGCTCTCACAGTCAGGAAGTTCTTCCTCATGTTCAGATGGAATCTCCTCTCTGTAGTTTGAAGCCATTGTTCCGAGTCCTAGTCTCCAAGGAAGCAGAAAACAAGCTTGCTCCCTCCTCCCTGTGGCTTCCTCTCACATATTTATACATGGCTATCATATCTCCTCTCAGCCTTCTCTTCTTCAGGCTAAACATGCCCAGCTCCTTAAGCCGCTCCTCATAGGGCTTGTTCTCCAGACCGTTGATCATTTTAGTCGCCCTCCTCTGGACACATTCCAGCTTGTCAATATCTCTCTTCAATTGTGGTCCCCAGAATTAGACACGGTAACAAATTCCCCTTCTTCTTCTTCTTCATCATCATCATCATCATCATCATCATCATCATCATCATCATCTCCTCCTCCTCCTCCTGTTTATTTATGTCCCGCTTCTGCTCCCCATAAGGAGATATCAAAGCAGCTAACATTAAAAGTGTTCTTAAGTGGCTTAAGAAGTAGTTTTAGACTTTTGAAACAATATTTTTGGTCATTAAATTTTGGGACAGTACATTGTGAAACCTCTATGCATATAGGTTTAATTTAATTGTTGTGCTGGATAAATTGCACCAAAAGACAATTTATTGGAATTAGGCAACTGCAAGTCTGGCCTTCTGCACTTCCTAATTTACTGAGCATTTTCTCTGTCTGCTTCTTTAGGCCAGTGTTTCTCAACCTGGGGGACGGGACCCCTGAGGGGGTCGCGAGGGGGTTGTCAGAGGGGTCGCCAAAGACGATAAAAAAACACAGTATTTTCTGTTGGTCATGGGGGTTCTGTGTGGGAAGTTTGGCCCAATTCTATCATGGGTGGGGTTCTGAATGCTCTTTAATTGTAGGTGGTCTATACATCCCAGTGACTACAACTCCCAAATGTCAAGGTCTATTTCCCCAAACTCCACTAGTGTCCACATTTTGGCATATTGAGTATTCGTGTCAAGTTTGATCCAAATATCTTTGTTTGAGTCCACAGTGCTGTCTGGATGTAGGTGAATTACAACTCCAAAACTCAAGGTCAATGCCCACCTAACCCTTCCAATATTTTATGTTGATCATGGGAGTTCTGTGTGCCAAATTTGGTCCAATTCCATTGTTGGTGGAGTTCAGAATGCTCTTTGAGTGTAGGTGAACTATAAATCCTAGCAACTACAACTCCCAAATGAGAAAATGAATCCTCCACAACACCACCAGTATTCAAATGTGGGTATATCGAATATTTGTGCCAAATTTGGTCCAGTGAATGAAAATACATCCTGCATATCGAATATTTACAATTCATAACAATAGAAAAGTGACAGTTATGAAGTAGCACTGAAAATGTTATGGTTGGGGGTCACCACAACATGAGGAACTGTATTAAGGGGTCGCGGCATTAGGAAGGTTGAGAACCACTGCTTTAGGTCTTGATGCAAGTAGGGCCACACATAGGCAAACTGCTATTTTGTTGGATTACAGCTCCAAATAATAATAACAACACTTTATTTATATTCCACCCTTCTCACCCTGAAGGAGACTCAGGGCGGATCACAAGTACGCATACAAGGCAAACATTCAATGCCTTTTGTATAGGCAGTACACAGACAGACAGCACAGAAGGAGGTGTTGTTTCGATGCCATGGACAGTTGGGCTCGAGTTCACAGGGGGTGCTGTCACTCCATCCTCTATGACAGTGGTTCTCAACCTTTCTAATGCTGCAACCCCTTAATACAGTTCCTCATGTTGGGGTGACCCCCCAAAAATATTATTTTTGTTGCTACTTCACAACTACAATTTTGCTACTGTTATTAATCATAATATAAATATCTGATATGCAGGGTGTATTTTTATTCACTGGACCAAATTTGGCATAAATACGTGATATGCCCCAATTTGAATACTGGTGGGGTTGGCAGGGGATTGATGTTGTCATTTGGGAGTTGTAGTTGCTGGGATTTATAGTTTACCTACAATCAAAGAGCATTATGAACTCCAACAATGGAATTGAACCAATCTTGCAACACAGAACTCCCGTGACCAACAGAAAATACTGGAAGGGTTTGGTGGGCATTCACCTTGACTTTTGGAGTTGTAGTTCACCTAGATCCAGGGAGCACTGCGGACTCAAAACAATGATGGATCTGGACCAAACTTGCCATGAATACTCAACATGCCCAATGTGAATGAACACTGGTGGAATTTGGGGAAAATAGACCTTGCATTTGAGAGTTTTAGTTGCTGGGATTTATAGTTCACCTACAATAAAAGATCATTCTGATACCTACCAATGATAGAACTGGGCCAAACTTCCCACATGGAACCCCTATGACCAACAGAAAATACGTTTTTGGATGGTTTTTGGAGACCCCTCTGAAACCCCCTCGTGACCCCCCCCCCCAGGGGTCCCGACCCTCAGGTTGAGAACCACTGCTCTGTGATGAAGAGCCATCAGGACTTCCTCATTTCAGCATTTTCTAATCTTCTTTTTCTATATGGCGTTGTAAAACACCTCCTCTGCTTTTAGCAGTACCTAATTTGTCTAATTACAGCTAAAGTTGTTTTCGAACTGCTTAGATAAACATTGAGCAGGGATTATGGTCGGCAGCGCACGCCGATCCGGGGCTTTGAACTTGCAACCTTTCGGTTGATAGATCTTATAGCTACTGATGATTTGCCAGCTGTGCTAAAACTCCAGCAAGTATCCTCCAGCTAGTATAGGCAATGAGGAAGCTTTCTGGGGAGTCTGTCAGCTGTAGTCCAACACATAACCCTTTTTATCTCTGCAATAGAGGCACAGAGATTATTATTATTATTATTATTATTATTATTATTATTATTATTATTTCCTTTATTTATACCCTGCTCTTCTCCTATCAAATGTGTTTGCTTGTTGCATTCATGACTTTATGTTATTCTACTGGGAAACTTCATCATTACTTTATGGCACAAGTGAATTCCTATTATTATTATTTTTACCACTGTTAGTCACTTACTTGGGAAATACTAATTTAAAAGGCATTATACTTTCTCCCTTTTTGGGGATATCCTTCAAAGTTTAGAAGTAGCTCTTTCAAGAATTAAATCAACAGCTTTCCTTCCGAAACCTTGAAAAATGATCCAACGCTCCTGAATTTGAAAGTCCCATTTTTGTACAACGGTCATGGCAGGATGCTGGCCTAGAAAAAGGCTTATGTAACTGTTCAGCAAAGCAACTCTTCTACTGTAATATACATGCACCTTTCCTCCATCAGAGGAATAGCTGTTTCACATTAAAGATGAATGCTAGGAGTTCTGTATTTGGAGTCTCTCTTCTCTGCCTTTTTTCTGATATGTTAATTTTGACCAGGTGTTTTAAAGAAGAGACTGGAGAACTTGTAAATGACATTAATGAACCCATTTGCATGGCGCAGAGTGACTGCAATTATCCATCATCTTAAAAATAGGGTGGGGGTGGAACTGAAACAGAACTGACATTCTTGGTTTTCTGAGTTAAAAAACTGATTCTTTTGGTTTCATAATTCTGTTGTGGTTTTTCCTTTAAAAAATAGAACTAAACTTATGAAACAGGTTCAGCTTGTTCTTTGATTTTTCCGATATGTAGATAGAACTATCTGGTGGTACTTGTAAAGATCTACCAATGTCCCACAAATAAACCGTTGATTCCATGCCCTTTTCTGTCGATGTTTCCATATGGAGGAATGTTGTTGTTGTTCATTCATTCAGTCACTTCTGACTCTTCGTGACCTCATGGACCAGCCCACACCAGAGATCCCTATCGACCATCACCACCCCTAGCTTCTTCAAGGTCAATCCAGTCACTTCAAGGATGCCATCCATCCATCTTGCCCTTGGTCGGCCCCTCTTCCTTTTTTCCTTCCATTTTCCCCAGCATCATTGCCTTCTCTAAGCTTTCCCGTCTTCTCCTTATGTGGCCAAGGTATTTCATCTTTGCCTCTACTATCCTTCCCTCCAATGAGCAGTTGGGCTTTATTTCCTGAAGTATGGACTGGTTGGATCTTCTCACTTTTCAAGGCACTCTCAAAAACTTTCCTCCAACACCACAGTTCAAAAGCATCTATCTTCCTTCGCTCAGCCTTCCCTATAGTCCAGCTCTCACATCCGTAGGTGACTATGGGGAATACCATATGGAGGACACATAAGAGTCCTGCCAAATTCAGCTGAACTCATACTTCTCCCACAGTATCCAAGCAAAGGCCCATTCACATTATATCTTTGTAGCACTATTATTTTGTTTCATCTGCCATTGTTCCATCCTGGGGAATCCCAGGGTTTGTAGTTTGGTGAGGCACTGGAGTGCTCTGAGGATTGTAAAGGCCTTTTCCATGACAATTGCACTGGAATTCTATAATGGGAATAGATCTCCATTTCACCGAGATGCTGACAAGCAGCCTGTACGTACAGCAGCAAATTTTGCTCATGTCTCCACACAGTCCCATCTAAACACATCCACAGAGATCCCTCCATGCAGCTCTTTGGAGGAACTATTAATTTACCTATTACATTTTTATCTTGCCTTTCTTCTAAGCTTTTAAAACAGAAGGTGTGATCCCCACCTAAATTTTTCTAGCAGTGATGTGAGGCATACATGAAAGATGATGGCTAGTAACCAAGAGTCATCCAGTGGGTTTTATGCCTGAGGCCCCTTCTACATTGCCATATAAAATCCAGATTATTTTATTTAAACTGGATTACATGGCAGTGTATAATCCAGTTCAAAGCAGATAATGTGGAAGTACATCTTTATTTGCAAATAGGATGCAGTCTGGATATTGGCAGCTTTACCTATTTAATTATTAGCTCTACTAGATCATAGTTGGCATAAATTATGATCATTGTATAATTTATGCCAACAGTGGTCACATGGGGGCACCATAAGTGTGATAAAAAACTCTTTCTTCTTTAGTGGCCTGTGGAGTTTAGACTTAGCATTTCATTAATCTGATTCGTAATAGCTAATTGGAACGATAGAAGAACAATGGCTTCAAACTACAAGAAAGGAGATTCCATCTGAACATTAGGAAGAACTTCCTGACCGTGAGAGCCGTTCAGCAGTGGAACTCTCTGCCCCGGAGTGTGGTGGAGGCTCCTTCTTTGGAAGCTTTTAAACAGAGGCTGGATGGCCATCTGTCGGGGGTGCTTTGAATGCTATATTCCTGCTTCTTGGCAGGGGTTGGACTGGATGGTCCATGAGGTCTCGTCCAACCCTACGATTTTATGATTCTAATGTGGATTGTCTGCCTAGATTGATGATATGACAGTGGATGATATCACAGTGTAGAAGGGCCCTTAGACTTCCTAGGTAAATAATCAAATAATTCTGCCTATGTCAATAGTAACAACCTCCTTCTCCCTCTTCCTCCTCTTTTTTTTCTTCTTCCTCTCCTTCTCCTCCTCATTTTTAACTGACTTTCCCTCAGGTTAAAAAACTATTTAAAAACTCTAAAATTACATCAGTATTAAACAAAACTCTAAAATTACCACAGCAAAACAACAGTGAGGAAACAATCAGGGACATCTAACCACCTCTCAACAAAAGATTGCCCCAGGCAATAACAAGCCACACCAAACAACTGCCATGCCATCAAATGCGAATCAAGGTGGTCAGTTGAAACATTCACACCTAGCTCCAACAGACAAGAGTTCTTTGTCTCACCCTGGTAATTCCACAGATATATAAACCCATTTTCCTAGTTCCAAACAGACCTCACTACCTCTGAGGATGCTTGCCATAGATGCAGGCGAAACGTTAGGAGAGAATGCCTCTAGAACATGGCCATATAGCCCGAAAAAACTACAACAACCCAGTTTTCCTCAGGTTACTTTCACAGGGCTGTCTGAGTAAAGTGTGAATAACACCTAAATGAAAGACTTTGGTTAAAGTGTTTCCTTGTTAATGTTGACTCTCTGAATCACAAAAGCTTATATGGCAAGGTAGTGACAACCCTTCCCTGTGTCGAGGGGCCGTGGTTTCCAAGCAAGTGCCTTATCTGGCTCCTCAATGCCCTTTCTGTTTTTCCTCCTAGAATGGTTTATCTCCACTGCACATGGCGACGCAGGGGGACCACCTCAACTGTGTTCAGCTCCTGATCGAGCACAATGTGCCTGTGGACGACGTCACCAATGACTATCTGACAGCACTGCACGTTGCCGCCCACTGTGGCCACTACAAAGTTGCAAAGGTCTTATTGGACAAGAAAACCAACCCTAATGCCAAAGCACTGGTGAGTACCCAGCAAGGCTCCAGTTTGTCTGTGAGCAAAGGCTCCTGTTTTCGGCCCACATGATCTGCTCTGAACTGGATTATATGACTCTACACTGACATATAACCCAGTTCAAAGCAGATCATCTGGGTTTTATATGACATTGTAGAAGGGGCCTTTCAGTGTCCTGACATTCTGGGGTTGGAAAGAGTTTATTAAGAAAAGATGCTGAAATTAAAAGTACGGAGTGTGGTGGAGGCTCCTTCTTTGGAAGCTTTTAAGCAGAGGCTGGATGGCCCTCTGTCAGGGGTGATCTGAATGCAAAATTCCTGCTTCTTGGCAGGGGGTTGGATTAGATGGCCCAGGAGGTCTCTTCCAACTCTTTGATTCTATGATTTCTGGTGCAAGCCATGTGTTTTTCTATGTTGTGAAGGGGGGGGGGGGAGGATTTATGCAATTGTCTGTCTATCAGCAAACTGAAGGGGATTTGTGTGGAATTTTTATGGTTTCTTCTTGTATAAATGGCCTTCGCCTCCTCCTGTTGTCAGTCAGGATAGGAGAAATTTAGTATTTGCATCAGTTTGGAAGGATCAGATGAAATATCTGGCCTTTTAAGGGAAAAAAAATGCTTGGAGAAAAAAATTAAAATGCTTGGATTTAAAAAGCTCCTAGTGTTTGCAAAACAAGAATTAAACTGGAGGATAAATACAAGATTGTGAATGGACTAGACTAGAGAGAGATAGGATAATACTATGTAACACATTTTTTGTTCCTGGGTTATAAATACCATTTCATAATTGGTTCTATTATACAGTATAACTCATGAAGAAGTGTATTAAACTGCGAATACTTTGTTTTTGCGGGACATCCTTCATCACATTTTGCTGTAGAGTTTCAATGAATATCTCAGAGAGTCATAGAAGCATCTATATAAATAAAAATGTAATGTTCGTTTGTGGGGTTAACATAACTCAAAAACCACTGGGCAAACTGACACCAAATTCAGACACAATTATCAGGCAATTTTTTTTTTTTGTCGTGTCAGGAGCGACTGGACAGGAGGAACTGCAAGTCGCTTCTGGTGTGAGAGAATTGGCCGTCTGCAAGGACGTTGCCCAGGGGACGCCTAGATGATTTGATGTTTTTATCATCCTCGTGGGAGACTTCTCTCATGTCCCCGCATGAGAAGCTGGAGCTGATAGAGGGAGCTCATCCGCCTCTCCACAGATTCGAACCTGCGACCTGTCGGTCTTCAGTCCTGCCGGCAGAGGGGTTTAACCCACTGTACCACCGGGGGCTCCTATCAGGCCAATGAGTGACCATCACCCCTAAAAACACTAGAAAACACAGCTTTTAAAAGCCGAAAAATAAAAAATACATTATAATTAAAATACATTATAACACTTTAAAAGCCAAAAAATAAAAAATACATTATAACACATGCACAAAACCATATATATACACAAATATATACACACACAAAACACATATACACAGACTGGGCCACAGCAACGCGTGGCAGGGAACGGCTAGTAGAATCATAGAATCAAAGAGCTGGAAGAGACCTCATGGGCCATCCAGTCCAACCCCCTGCCAAGAAGCAGGGATATTGCATTCAAATCACCCCTGACAGATGGCAATCCAGCCTCTGTTTAAAAGCTCCCAAAGAAGGAGCCCCCACCACACTCCGGGGCAGAGAGTTCCACTGCTGAACGGCTCTCACAGTCAGGAAGTTCTTCCTCATGTTCAGATGGAATCTCCTTTCTTGTAGTTTGAAGCCATTGTTCCTCATCCTAGTCTCCAGGGCAGCTGAAAACAAGTTCGTCCCCTCCTCCCTATGACTTCCCCTCACGTATTTATACATGGCTATCATGTCTTCTCTCAGCCTTCTCTTCTTCAGGCTAAACATGCCCAGCTCTTTAAGCCGCTCCTCATAGGGCTTGTTCTCCAGACACTTGATCATTTTAGTCGCCCTCCTCTGGACACATTCCAGCTTGTCAATATCTCTCTTGAATTGTGGTGCCCAGAATTGGACACAATATTCCAGGTGTGGTCTAACCAAAGCAGAATAGAGGGGTAGCATTACTTCCCTAGATCTAGACACTATGCTCCTATTGATGCAGGCCAAAATCCTATTGACTTTTTTTGCTGCCGCATCACATTGTTGGCTCATGTTTAACTTGTTGTCTACGAGGACTCCAAGATCTTTTTCTCAATTATTTATTTACTTTACTTCTATACCGCTGTTCTCAGCCCGGAGGCGACTCACAGCGGTTCACAAGACACAGGACACAGCAAAATTCAACACCTATATGAAACAGTTAATAACCTAATCTAATACACAATTAATACACAATTACTATAATAACTATTCACTAAGGTCTCATCTCTAAAAACATGATACAAACCAACATAGTTTGTAGCCGCCATTAAAACAAAGTTTCTGGAGTATAACAACTATTATTTTATTTATTTATTTATTTATTTACAGCTTTTATATTCCACTCTTCTCACCCCGTAGGAGACTCAGGGTGGATTACAGTGTACACATATATGGCAAACATTCAATGCCAATTTTTGACAAACATATACAGACATACACAGAGGCTATTTAACTTTTTCTGGCCGCCAGGGGAGCTGTTGTTTTCATCGTCCATCTGCGACACTGATGAAGTACTTCCGCATTCCCCGCATGCTTCCCCGCTGGAGTGCTTTGCTGGAGTCTTTTATGGCCTCATAAATTAGTTGAGCCTCCCCACACTTTAAGGTGGTACCTAATTTTCCTACTTGACAGATGCAACTGTCTTTCGGGTTGCAAAGGTCGACAACAGGCTACACAATTGGTTGGAAACCCACTCCAACCTGGGCTGGCTTCGAACTCATGACCTTTTGGTCAGAGTGATCTTAATGCAGCTGACACTCAGCCAGCTGCGCCACAATCCCGGTGCTTTCAAAGTAAGTACCACACAGTTAAGTTAATAATAATAATAATCTTCATTTATACCCCGCCACCCTCTCCCTAATGGGGACTCAGAGTGGATTACATGGGGCCAAGCCCGGACAACATATTACATCAAAATAAAACCAAAACATAAACAACAAGCAACATCATCAAAATTACATTTAAAAAAACATATGAATACAAAAACAAAATAACATTACAATAAACACTCCTAAACCAGAAACAGGTTTTTTTCTTCAAATTTGTTGATATAGTGTAATCTAATGACTAAAAGATAAACATTTATAGTACTACCCCAAAACATCCTTTTCTGTAAGCCTGTCTGTATATATGGGTAAATCGGCATTTACAAACTATTCTAAACAAAAGATTGTAATCTCTAGGCAGTTTTTGTTGCAGTCCTGAGTTTACGTGAGCTTGCTATCTTAAGCCTCCAAATGGAAAGTTGATTTTAGCTCTTCTGTTCTTGCTAGTTGTAATCTCTCTGGCTGGAGCAAAAAGATCCTGTTTCCCTTTTTGTTGGCTTTCTGTTTTTACAAAATCTTATGCCTTTGCTCTCTATTTCTATTGGATTTTATTTGGATTCATAAAATAATATTTGGTCTGCTTCGGGAATATAGAGAATCACAGAACTTCCACGACCAACAGAAAATACTAGAAGGGTTTGATGGGCATTGAACCTTGAGTTTTGGAGTTGAAGTTCATCTATATCTAGAGAGCACTTTGGACTCAAACAATGGTGGATCTGGACCAAAGTTGGCACCTATCCTCAATATGCCCAAATGTGAACACTGGTGGAATTTTGGGGAAATAGACCTTGACTGTTGGGAGTTGTTAGTTGCTGGGATTTATAGGTCACCTACAATAAAAGAGCATTCTGAACCCCACCAACGATAGAATTGGGCCAAATTTCCACACAGAACCCCCATGACCAACAGAAAATATTGTGTTTTCAGGTGGTCATTGGCAACCCCTCTAACACCCCCTCATGCCCCCCCCCCGGATCCCGACCCCCAGGTTGAGAACCACTGAATTAGAGAGTCATGTGTGACTTTCTAATGGCATTGCATTTCAATATGGTACCACTACCTGTTGTTTCAGTACTATTTATGGGGATTCCATTGGAGCACTTGTACAACTTGCCACCAAAATATTTCCTAAAGTAAAATTGATAGTAAAGTGGCAGAGTTGGAGGAATCCTTCTCAAACAGACTATCCAAGAAAGTTTGAGAGATATCAAACTACAAGGGAGGAGATTCCATCTGAACATGAGGAAGAACTTACTGACTGTGAGAGCCGTTCAGCAGTGGAACTCTCTGCCCCGGAGTGTGGTGGAGGCTCCTTCTTTGGAAGCTTTTAAACAGAGGCTGGATGGCCATCTGTCAGGGGTGATTTGAATGCAATATTCCTGCCTCTTGGCAGGGGGTTGGACTGGATGGCCCATGAGGTCTCTTCCAACTCTTTGATTCTATGATTCTATGATATCAAAGGGTAAATTTAGCAACATTTCTCAGAGCTTTCACACAACCCTGTGCTTTAAGGCTCACGACTTACCAGCTTCCACTTAAAAGATCTCAGTTTACAGCAGCGTTTCTCAACCTGGGGGTCGGGACCTCTGGGAGGGTCATGAGGTGCGTGTCAGAAGGGTCGCCAAAGACCATCGAAAAGCACAGTATTTTCAGTTGGGCATGGAGGTTCTGTGTGGGAAGTTTGGCCCAATTCTATCGTCAGTTGGGTTCAGAATGCTCTTTGATTGTAGGTGAACTATAAATCCCAGCAACTACAACTCCCAAATGTCAAGATTTTCCAATCCAGATTGGAAGTTTCAGCATATGTATGTATGTATGCAGGGGCGGCTTGTCCATTACGCGAAGTAAGCGGTCGCAGAACACTTTTTTTTTGCCAGGGGTGCAGAGGCGCCTCTGTAAATGCCCCTCGACCGCCACTTGAGGAGCGCCCCCTCAGCTCACAACAGCCCTAGCAGTCCGGGGGGAGCCTCGGCTTTCTTGCCTCGCTGCCGGGCGATCCACTTCCCAAAGGGGCCGGGCCCTTGAGCCACGCCTAGCCCCTCTCGTTCCTGCTCCACCCGGCCACCAGGTGCACGAGCAGAGCCGGTGCGCAATCGTGCTCCGCGTTTGATCCCTTCCCAGCCTCTGTTTAAAAGCTTCCAAAGAAGGAGCCTCCACCACACTCCAGGGCAGAGAGTTCCACTGCTGAACGGCTCTCACAGTCAGGAAGTTCTTCCTCGTTCAGATGGAATCTCCTCTCTTGTAGTTTGAAGCCATTGTTCCTTGTCCTAATCTCCATGGAAGCAGTAAACAAGCGTGCTCCCTCCTCCCTGTGGCTTCCTCTCACATATTTATACATGGCTATCATATCTCCTCTCAGCCTTCTCTTCTTCAGGCTAAACATGCCCAGCTCCTTAAGCCGCTCCTCATAGGGCTTGTTCTCCAGACCCTTGATCATTTTGGTCGCCCTCCTCTGGACACATTCCAGCTTGTCAATATCTCTCTTGAATTGTGGTGCCCAGAATTGGACACAATATTCCAGGTGTGGTCTAACCAAAGAGGAATAGAGCATGGGGAGCATGACTTCCCTAGATCTAGACACTATGCTCCTATTGATGCAGGCCAAAATCCCATTGGCTTTTTTTGCCGCCACATCACATTGTTGGCTCATGTTTAACTTGTTGTCCACGAGGACTCCAAGATCTTTTTCACATGTACTGCTCTCGAGCCAGGCGTCCCCCATTCTGTATCTTTGCATTTCATTTTTTCTGCCAAAGTGGAGTATCTTGCATTTGTCACTATTGAACTTCATTTTGTTAGTTTTGGCCCATCTCTCTAATCTGTCAAGATCATTTTGAATCCTGCTCCTGTCCTCTGGAATATTGGCTCTCCCTCCCAATTTGGTGTCGTCTGCAAACTTAGAAACCGCTCTGAGTCCCATCGGGGAGATAGAGTGGTATATAAATAAAGTTTTGTTGTTGTCGTCGTATTCTGCCACATTCTCTCCTGATGTTTCGCCCACATATGTGGCAGGCATTCTCAGAGGTTGTTAGGTCTTTTGGAAACTAGGCAAACAACTTATAAATTCTAAGAATGCCTGCAATAGATGTGGGCGAAACATTAGGAGAGAATGCTTCTGGAACATGACCAGACAGCCCGGAAAACTCACAGCAACGCAGCGATTCCAGCCACGAAAGCCTTCAACAATCAATTAAGATTACATGAAAGTTTGAAGAGATGGGAAAAATGGAGAAGGATGCCCAAATTATACCACTGTTCTTTCGCCTGGAAGCAAATTACTAAGGACAATCAAGCCTTGCACACACCCAGGTGTTCTGCAAAACAATGACATGTGTCTCTCTTCCCGGGATCCTCCCATATAGCTGGAAGGGTTGCCACCCAAAAGGCAGGGCGGGGATGAGGCCACAAAGGTGGACAGAGAGAGCCAGTCGATTCCCAACAATCCCATTGGTGTGTGGTTTCAAAGTCTCTCAAACAAATGTAAATGGCTGGGGTGTCCACTTACACAGACAAGCTCTTGCATCCACAAACAGCTATAGCTCCCACCTCTCAGGAGACACCAATGGCCCTCCCTCCAATGACATTGCAGGTTATAGTGAGTGCTGGGAACAGAGGCGGCCCTAGGTAATTTTCAACGGTAAGCAAACAGTATTTTGACCCCCCAACCAATCACTGATATATATTTTCTGTTTGTCGTGGGAGTTCTGTGTGCCATATTTGGTTCAATACCATCATTGGTGGAGTTCAGAATGCTCTTTGATTGTAGGTGAACTATACATCCCAGTAACTACACTTGCCGCACTTGCTCCCTTGCCTGGCCCGCTTTGGTCCGGAGGCGTGCCTGAAGACCCTGGCGTGTGCACCAAAAGTCACCTCTTCTCCTGACTTTCTCCTCAGCCATTGGGACCAAGAGAGAGAGAGAGAGGGAGAGACCACCTTTCCTGAAAGTAGGCGCAAAAACAAAGGAGGGAGCGGAGGTGGGAGATACCTCCAGCCAGAGGGGCTCTCTCTCTCTCTCTCTCTCTTGGTCCCAATGGCTGAAGAGAAAGTCAGGAGAAGAGGCGACTTTTGGTGCACACGCTGGGGTCTTCAGACACGCCTCCGGACCCGAAGCGGGCCAGGCGCGGCGGCTCCGCCCCTTGGCCCACCCGCGGATTGGGGAGAGGAGAGGAGGCGGGTGGAGTGCCGGGGGATCGGGAAAGGGAGCCGGTCATGGGGAAGGGATCGAACGCGGAGAACGATTGAGCGCCGGCTCTGCTCGCGCACCCGGTGGCCGGGTGGAGCAGGAACGAGAGGGGCTAGGCGAGGCTCAAGGGCCCGGCCCTTTGGGAAGAGGATCGCCCGGCAGCGAGGCAAGAAAGCCGAGGCTCCCCCCGGACTGCTAGGGCTGTTGTGAGCTGAGGGGGCGCTTCTCAAGTGGCGGTCGAGGGGCATTTACAGAGGCGTCTCTGCGCCCCTGGCAAAAAAAAGTGTTCTGCAACCGTTTACTTTGTGTAATGGAAGAGCCGCCCCTGGCTGTGAACATGTCCAAGAGTCCTACCAAACACCATACTGCCCACCACTAAAGGAATGCTTTCATTTGGGAACAATTCCATCTTAGATTGTATGTGTTTCCTCCACCACAGGCATCCCAGTGTGTCTGACTCTCTCAATTGGTGTGGAATTTGCATGGTTCCGCCCACTGCCTCTCCCTTAATCCTTTCCTACTCTTTTCTATGGGGCACAGCCAGGGGCGGCTCGTCYAKTACGCGAAGTAAGCGGTCGCAGAACACTTACTTCGCATAAGGGAGCAAATGCGGCAAGTGTAGTTACTGGGATGTATAGTTCACCTACAATCAAAGAGCATTCTGAACTCCACCCATGATGGAATTGAACCAAACATGGCACACAGAACTCCCACGACGAACAGAAAATATATATCAATGATTGGTTGAGGGGGGGGGGCACCAAAATACTGTTTGCTTACCATTGAAAATTACCTAGGGCCGCCTCTGTATGGGTGCCAACTTTGGTCCAGATCCACCATTGTTTGAGTCCACAGTGCTCTCTGGATGTAGGTGAACTTCAACTCCAAAACTCAAGGTTCAATGCCCATCAAACCCTTCTAGTATTTTCTGTTGGTCGTGGAAGTTCTGTGTGCCAAGTTCAATTCCATCATTGGTGGAGCTCAGAATGCTCTTTGATTGTAGGTTAACTATAAATCCCAGCAACTACAACTCCCAGATGACAAAATCAATTCCCCCCCAATCCCACCAGTATTCAAATTTGGGCGTATTGGGTATTTATGTCAAATTTGGTCCGGTGAGTGAAAATATATCCTTCATATCAGATATTTACATTACAATTCATAATAGTAGCAAAATTACAGTTATGAAGTAGCAAGGAAAATAATGTTATGGTTGGAGGTCAGCACAACATGAGGAATTGTATTAAAGGTTCGCGACATTAGGAAGGTTAAAAAACACTGGTTTACAGAAATGGGAAAGATGGTAAGCTCTGTTTACTGATGCACTTTCCCCAGATCATTATCCTTAATAATTAAAAGAAGAAGAAAGGCTTATATAGAATTGAGAAAGAATCTGCAATGGCTGCAACTGTCTGTTTTTACTTGGCTAGAACAGGCAGCAGCCCTGACTGTATGTTATGAAAGCAATCTGGTATTTAAAACTCCTGTTGGGAAGGCAGCTATTGTTGATCAGATTGAAGGCCTAATTCTGTCAGCTGTTTTAAAAATATGCCAGTGATGCCCCTTTGATATATATATAAAAGTTGTCATCAAGATCTAAGCAACGCTATGAGCAGGAGGATATGGATCTTTGATGTTCAGGAAGGCTTGTTTTCTTGCTGCTTTTGCTTCACCCGAAATCAAATGGTAGTTTATTTTTGCATCACGTTGCATGGTGCAGATATACATGTAGTATTTCCAGAGCATATTCATTATTACTGTTTCAACCAGCAAAGTAAACTTTTTTTTAAAATGGAGAAAGTTGGCAGATGCAGAATATCAAAAGAGATACTGCAAATGTTTTGAAGATAATTGAGAGAAGTTGTATTTTATCATTGACGTCTTTTTCCCCCTCCGAGGTCTTTGAAAGTCCTTTTTGTACTTTTGCAGAATGGTTTTACACCTCTCCATATTGCCTGCAAAAAGAACAGAATTAAAGTGATGGAACTTTTACTGAAACATGGAGCATCTATCCAAGCTGTCACAGAGGTAATGCATCATCAGTTTCGCATACTGTTATGTTGCCCATCCACACATGACATTCAGTCATTCAATATAAGAGCTGAGAAAATCAAGGAGGATGCTGACTTCAAGCTGGGTATCTTTTTATTACTTTTCTATGTATTTATTTATTATTTATTTATTTACAGTATTCATATTCCGCCCTTCTCACCCTGAAGGGGACTCAGGGCAGATCAAAATACACGTACATTTGGCAAACATTCAATGCCGTTTTTTACATACAATTTATTTATTTATTTATTTATTTATTTATTTCGGGCACTTCTACCCCACCCTTCTCAACCCCCAGGGGGGGACTCAGGGCGGCTTACAACCGGCACAATTCGATGCCAACAATTCAACAGATAAAATACATAACAGCAATAGCCACAATGGTTAAAAACAATCAATTAATACAATAACAACTAAAAAGCCAATCTAGTGGCCAACATTCACCGAGTTCTAAAATCCGTAAGTCCATTCAGCATTACCATAGTCCTTTCCAAATTCTGGTCGTCATTACCTTGTCAGTCTGCCAAATTACCCAAAGGCCTGGTCCCATATCCATGTTTTCAGCTTCCTTCTGAAGGAGAGGAGGAATTTTGATGACCTGATTTCCCCGGGGAGTGAATTCTACAGGCGAGGGGCCACCACTGAGAAGGCCCTGTCCCTCGTCCCCACCAGCCTCACTTGTGATAGAGGCGGGGCCAAGAGCAGGGCCTCCCCAGAAGATCTTAAACTCCGAGGTGGGACATAGAAGGAGATACGTTCGGACAGGTACGCTGGGCATACAGACAAGACATACAGACAGACAGAGGCCGTTTAGCAGTTCTTCCACCAGATCCAGGAGGTTGCTTGATTTGGCCACAGGGGGAGCTGTCACTTTGTCCACTATGATGCCGAGCCTTTTGACCGTAGTATTTCCTCCTTGCTCTCCGGCATTTTTATGGTGTCATAAATTAGCCTCCCCACTTTAAGCGGTCCCTAATTTTTCTACTCAAAGCTCACAGCTGTTTTCGAACTTCTTAGGTCGACAGTGAGCTGGGCATTTTTTTTAACAGCTATTAACAGTCGGGTGCTCAACCCTGACTCGGGCTTCAAACTTGCCACCTTTTGGTTGGCAGTGATTTATTACACCTGATTAACCAGTTGTGTTACCAGCCCGGCCCTGTAAGGCATTTTTGTAAAATTCTGCCTATAGGGAGTTTTCAGTGTCTACAGATTCTGCACCCACAACTATCCATGCTTGAATTTTTTTTAAAAAGAATTGATTATGCTATTTTATAAAAAGGAAAACATTTTACTACACTTTTGTATTTAATGGGACTTGAGTATCAATATAATTTGTATGCACTGGGGTCCTTCCTTCCCCACTTTTTCATTGTGATATAAATTGTTATTTTTATTGGTTATCCATAATCCTAGATATTTTACTTTCGTCGCTACCTTACAAGCTGATAAATTCTCCCAATTTGTCAATATTGCTTTTTGATAAATTTTTGTTAAGAACATAGATGTCTCTTTGTTTATTTTAAATCCTGCCACATTTTGGAACCTATTGATAGTCTTCATCAAGCTTTGAATACTCTTTATTGGGCCTTCTATAATGCACATCCTCAGGTTTAGCTCAGTTTTACCATAACTCATGCTATGCTGCTTCACAATGCATAATGCTATCCTGTAGTGATTTTTTTTTCTCTTCTCCCCCTACTTCCTTTTTCCCAGTCGGGGTTGACTCCAATCCATGTTGCTGCCTTTATGGGACATGTAAATATTGTTTCACAGCTGATGCATCATGGAGCTTCGCCCAACACAACCAATGTGGTGAGTTTGTGTCCATTGTGCCTTTTTCTTTGCCTATATTGTTCTGTCGCGCGTTGGGCCTGTAAATTGTTGTCTTTAAAACAGGACGTGCAACCTTTGCCGCGGGAAGCCAGGGGGCCTAAAGAGAAGTTCTCAGAGGTTTCCACCACAAACAGTCTTTAGATGGCTTGAGAAGTACAACAAAGTCGTTTATTAATGCACAATCAAACAGAAACTTCTCTTGTCTTCAGTAAAGTTAAGCAAATGATTCCAAGCTTTTAGGCAACTGGTGAATTCCTAATCTTGCCCACGAAGGACAGGCAACTATCTTCAATAACTTCTTCTTTAAAGGAAAATCCCCTTTTTAACTTCTCCCAGGCTGACTGTAAACTTAAACCTAACTGATGTGGGCACCACTACCGGGTTGAACTGCGTCTCAAAGCACCGAGTGGGCCTACCAGCAAGGCCTGTAGTCTCTTCAGCTGGAGTTCTTTGATCTTTAGGGCTGTTTCCCTGGAAAGTCTTTGGAGACTCTTTTCCTTCTGTTTCTGTTGGAATTTCTGTAACCCTGGAAATTCTTAAAGGTTGAAGCTTTTGTACAGGGGACGTTTACACATGTCCTGTACATTGGCTAACCTAGCTGAGACTAACTAAAAAATGGCTCCCTTTCCCTTCCCAATTGCCCTGAGCAAGGGGTGGGACCAAAACTTAATGATGATGGACAGGTGGCTTGCCCTATAACTGCAACCAAAAGAAGCCACCTATCTGCAGAGTCCCTGAAACCTAGGACTGCAAACAAACATTTAATGTAAAGCAAACAAAATTGGAGCTCCTGGTACAGCTGTACCAGAGCATATATGGTTTCCTCAATAGACATTATGAGACACTTTCAAATCACTGTTTTTTATCCTCACTGTCTGTTTGGGTTTGCTTTGTGACCAGAGTAACAAGTGCATCCTCACCCCCAGAATCTCAAGGTGAGGCACCCCGCTATTTGGATCTTGAGCCACCAGCATGTTTTCTGTTTCTTCTTGTCAGCCCAAGTTTTTGACAGGGACCTACATAGATTTACCTATCTTCAAAGCTGCATTTCTGTTATGTGAATAAGGATTATCCACAAGATATTTCCTGCTCATCTAGTTACTGTACGTCCTATAGTTTTCCCATTTGAGAACATGAAAAGCCGCATTCTAGACAAGCTATGACATGTACGGCCAACATGTATATACTGTATGTATATCCATTGTGACATTTTATTAATTTACTGTAATTTTTTCATATTGCTGTCACTACTGAATTTATGTCAAAGAGCTACCACCACTCAGGAAAGAAAATAATGGGTTTCTTATAGTAGTATGTTGACTGGATTGTGAAATGAAAAGGTCCATTCAACTATCGTGAATGAGGTCAACTATCGTGTTTCTTTGCACTTCATTACAACCAGGGGGGAATATGATGCAAAATATATGATTTAGGCACACAATCATAGGTGGCAAGTATATACAGTATGACTTTCATATCTGTGGGACTGGTATCTGCAGATTTATTTATACACATCTGACCAAATGTGGCCTTTCTAGATGTTTTCTAGGTCCCCCAGTGCACCTCTATCATATTCTTGGGCCAGAGGTCCTCCATCTCAATAAGATACACTATTATCCACAGTTTCATATATCCACTACACCCCTCTACTGATGATAGTTCATACAGTTTAGCTGTTTGTGTGGAGCAAAGTATTGTCGCTGTGCATGCACTTCTCACATTTAGATCAGTTGCGGGGAATGCAGACATCTGCAAAATAGGGGAAGATGGCAAAAGACAGAGCAGTCTCCTTCATTGCTGGATGTATTTCAGCTAGTTGGGAGGGCTGCTTGTCATTAAAGACTGGCACTTGAGAGCAAATACTGTATATACCCGAGTATAAGCCAACCCAAATATAAGCCAAGGTGCCTAATTTTACCACAAAAAACTGGGAAAATGGATTGACTCGAGTATAAGCCTAGGGTGGGAAATGCAGCAGCTACTGGTGAATTTCAAAATAAAAATAGATACCAATATAATTACATTAATTGAGGCATGAGTAGGTTAAATGTTTTTGTATATTTACATAAAACTGTCATTTAAGATAAGACTGCCCAATTCTGATTAAACTATTATTCTAAACTTCTTCAATGTGAACGTGTGAACATATCCTTCCAATAATAAAGAGAGTAAAATAATAATAATAATAATAATAATAATAATATAGCAAAATAATGGAAATGTAATAATAACAGTAATAATAGAGTAAAAGACTGGAAATATAATAATAACTGTACTACTAGAGTAAAATAATGGAAATGTAATAATAGTAATAATAGAGCAAAATGATACATGTAATAATAATAAAAATAATAAATAGAGTAAAATAAAAGTAATATAATAATAATAATAACAGAGTAAAATAATAAATAATCTTGATTCGAGTATAAGCCGAGTGGGACTTTTTAAGCCTTAAAAAAGGGCTGAAAAACTAGGCTTATACTCGAGTATATACAGTATATCAGGAAATGTCATATCATGAAGGAGTGGGAGAACAGGGAAAGGGAATACCGATAATGGTCAGGATATTTAAATAGAAGGACTCTATAGTTACTCTTTTTTTCCTCTTGTGTTTGTACAAATGAATTAAAGTGCTAAAATATGAGGTTTCTCATGTCACGTCACCTTTATTTGGTTGTTGCTGTGGGTCAACTATTTGGAAGTGTTGTAAAAATAGTTCTGCAATACTCAACTTTGTAGGTATTGCTTACTATAATCTATTATTGAGCGTGACATTAAAATGGTATTTTTTGTATGACTACACAAATTATAACATACCCAGCAAACATATGGTTGCAAACATATATATTCTACAGATATTCTGGCTGAGGAGTTTGGATACAATTCCTAAATGAGTATATGCTTGGCAGCATGGATTTTACAATATGAATGAGGAGTGGTTATCCTCCAAAAAATTATTCAGTTTTTGCTTTACCTCCAGTGCTTTATTAATGCGGATTCTATCACGATCACAAACACACAAATTTGTGTCAGGGAGAAGAATTGAAAGTCTCCTTGGACTTCTCTCCCACTCCCTTCCTCGTCTCAGAACTGATATATTGCAGTTCTTGTTTTAACTTCTTTTGCACTGGAAAACAAAAGAATATTTCTGCCTAGTTTCAGACATTTGGGTTCAGCTCCTTGGCATGAATCCTATTGTTAGTCCCAGTTAAAATATACCAACTAACAGTCAGGAATACCTACTTCCTGACTGTGAGAGCCGTTCAGCAGTGGAACTCTCTGCCCCAGAGTGTGGTGGAGGCTCCTTCTTTGGAAGCTTTTAAACAGAGGCTGGATGGCCATCTGTCAGGGTGATTTGAATGCAATATTCCAGCTTCTTGGCAGGGGGTTGGACTGGATGGCCCATGAGGTCTCTTCCAACTCTTTGATTCTATTATATGTAAGTGTTGCATTACCAAATCCCCATTGATTCGGTGGTTCTGTTCTAGCTGGGACTAGCAGTTAATAATAAATAATAATAAACTTTATTTATACCCCACCACCATCTCCCCGATGGGGACTCGGAGCGGCTTACATAGGGCCAAGCCTGAACAACATATTACATCAAAATAAAAACCAAAACATAAACAAGTAACATCATTAAAATTACATGAAATAAATATATATATAATTGAATTTAGCTTCTTTGCAGCACATAACCTCAGAAGATCTTGCGCACATAGACATGCACATGCTGAAGCAAGCTCTGTTGATGTTGCTAACAGATTGCAGCAGATGATCGAGACATATTGCCTGTGTCCAGCACAGGCATGCTAGAATGCCTCTGTGCTCCCAAAAGCAGTCGGTAAAAGGTGTTAAAAATGAAGCTGCTTTAGATGCAGCTGTGAGAAAATGAAAATAATTGAGCTTCAAAAAACACAGAGACACACTACATTGCATTTTTTTTTACTGTAGTTTGCTGCTAACTGTTCTTTGCCAGGTTGGAAGCACAAGTACAGGGTGCAGCAGCATAACTTCCTTTTTTCAAAACTTAATAAAACCCATTGTATGAATCAGAATTTATATATAGTAGGCGCATACCTAAAGTTTTGTTTTACGTAGTTTTGAAGATCAAATTAGGTAGGTCAGAATTGTGTCCAATTCTGGGCACCACAATTCAAGAGAGATATTGACAAGCTGGAATGTGTCCAGAGGAGGGCAACTAAAATGATCAAGGGTCTGGAGAACAAGCCCTATGAGGAGCGGCTTAAGGAGCTGGGCATGTTTAGCCTGAAGAAGAGAAGACTGAGAGGAGATAGGATAGCCATGTATAAATATGTGAGAGGAAGCCACAGGGAGGAGGGAGCAAGCTTGTTTTCTGCTTCCTTGGAGACTAGGACGCGGAACAATGGCTTCAAATTACAAGAAAGGAGATTCCATCTGAACACGAGGAAGAACTTCCTGACTGTGAGAGCTGTTCAGCAGTGGAACTCTCTGCCAGGGAAGGTGGAGGCTCCTTCTTTGGAAGCTTTTAAACAGAGGCTGGATGGCCATCTGTCAAGGGGTGATTTGAATGCAAAATTCCTGCTTCTTGGCAGGGGGTTGGACTGGATGGCCCATGAGGTCTCTTCCAACTCTTTGATTCTATGATTCTAGGTGACGTCGCCCATTCTCCATACACTAAGTAAACTAATTTCTGGCATTTGTCATGACTCTTGCCAGCATAGCAGGCATTATGTTGGCAATTTCTTCCTGGATGTTGGTCTTCAAATCTTGTAGGGTCCTTGGACAGGTTCACATAAACACGGGATTTCAAAAAACCCCATAGAAAAAAATCACAAGGGGCCAAATCTGGAGAGCGGGCCGGCCACTCCAAATCCCCCCTAATTGAGATGAGGCGCTCTGGGAAGTGTTCCCTCAAAACAGCCATTAATGCTCTTGAAGTGTGTGCAGTTGCACCATCTTGTTGGAACCAAATGTCCCCTAAGTCCAACACATCTAGCCATAGGGAAAAAAATTACTGTAACATGTTTACATAGCGGTCCGAATTCATTGTCACTGCGACTTCATTTTCCTCAAAGAAACAGGGACCAATAATTCCAGCTGAGGAAATTGCACACCACACTGTGATTTTAGGTGAATGCAAAGGCCTTTGATGCAATTCTCGAGGATTGTTGTCAGCCCAGTAGCGCATGTTTTGTTTGTTGACGGATTCACACGAATGAAAATGGGCTTCATCGCTATTTTTTGTTGCATCTATGCAAGCGAAATGAGAGAAAATGCCTCTAAAACATGGCCATATAACCCGAAAAAACCCACAAGAACTTAGTGATTCCAGCCGTGAAAGCCTGCGACAATACAGTGCATGTTTTGTTTGTTGACGAATCCGCACAGATGAAAATGGGCTTCGTCACTTAAAAAAATAGCGTCCTCAGGAACGACTTCGAGAAGAACCTCACACACTTTCCTCCGAGAATTGAAGTCATGTTCAGAAAGTTCCTGCACAATCACCATCTTGTAAGGATGGAAATGAAGATCATCATGAAGAATTCTCCTCACAGAATTATCGGAAAGTCCAAGGGCAGAATTTTTGCGCGCAGAATGCCATGGTGATCACAACATTGAAGCTCTCACTGCCTCAATGTTCTCAGGTGATCTAATGGGCCGAGGGACTCCAGTTCTTCATCTTGTCACACTTGCAGTTTGTCTGAATGTAGTGACCCACGTCACAATTGATTTCCGGTCCGGGACAGGGGCCAATGGGGCTAAATTAAAGCGATTCCGAAAGACACGCTGGGTTGCGATCACAGAACATCAACTCGAAAAGTAGGCCTCAATGGCAAAAGCATGCTCCTCACTGTTCCAACGCATGATGGCGACTGAACTGTGTCAGGACAAAACTTTATATTCCCGCCTCTCGAACGAGACCACTACGTCTTCAACCGACTGAATGGCACGCATTTTTAAAAAGGAAGTTATGCTGCCGCACCCTGTAGCAAAGGATTGGGACAACAGAGCATTGCCTTTGTCGATTTGCTCTGTAAATTACAGGGGCATTCACCAACACCATTTGTGCTATAAATAATCTTTGCTTTTAAAGATCAAGAAAACTGTTCACTTTTTTCATATCAATGTTCTTGGTGTTCTTACCATTTCCCTGGCAATATATTTTCTGGCCAAAGCAGATGAAGCTTTACATTTTTAAAGCAAACTTGGGTATGATTATTGATTTGTTTTGATCTGCCCAGCAGAGAATTTGCTTGCTGACGGCATATGCCAGGGTTATTAGAGTACAATCGCTGAGAAGCAAATGGATGAAAAATGTGCATATCTGAATATGTAAAGCTTGGCATAATTACAAATGCTTGACCAACTGTGAATGACCACTTAGCACAGTGTTGTGTTGGTGCTCTGAGTGGAGCACCATATTTTTAAATAGATATTTTTCCTTGACAAACAAGAAAACACTCATGTACTGTGATAGTTAGAAAATCGATACTGGAATAAATTACTTTCTGAGGACCAGAGTTAGAGGGCAAATATTGACTGGGTTCAGTGTTATGTTCCCAAACAACTCTTCCAAAAGTATTCATGCTGCACTGGTTTCTGACTAAAATGAAAGCTTTTGTCCCCGTTGATGAAACATTTTTGTGATTTCTAACATTTTGATGGGAGACCTTAATATTTCAACGAAATTTTACTTTCATAGAGAGGAGAGACAGCGCTTCATATGGCTGCCAGAGCTGGCCAATCAGAAGTTGTTCGATACTTAGTCCAGAATGGAGCTCAGGTAGAAGCCAAAGCCAAGGTAAGATCCTAATTTCTTGGTGTGACTGATATTGCCAATGGCATGCTCCTCTTCCTTCAAAGGGAGGAAGAGTGTTGCTGTTCAGTCAAGGAGTGGGTACAGGAGGGCATGCCTTCTAGACCAGTGCTTCTCAACCTGGGGGTCACAAGAGGATGTCAGAGGGGTTGCCAAAGACCATCAGAAAACAGTATTTGCTGTTGGTCATGGGGTTCTGTGTGGGAAGTTTGGCCCAATTCTATCCTTGGTGCTCTTTGATTGTAGGGAAACTATAAATCCCAGTAACCACAACTCCCAAGTGTCAAGGTCTGTTTTCCCCAAACTCCACCAGTGTTCACATTTGGGCATATTGAATATTCATGCCAAGTTTGATCCAGACCCATCATTGTTTGAGTCCACAGTGCTCTCTGGATGTAGGTAAACTACAACTCCAAAACTCAAGGTCAATACCCAACAAATCCTTTCAGTATTTTCTGTTGGTCATGGCAGTTCTGTGTGCCAAGTTTAGTTCAATTCCATCGTTGGTAGATTTCAGAATGCTCTTTGTTTGTAGGTGAACTATAAATACCAGCAATTACAACTCCCAAATGACAAAATCAACCCCCCCCCCCAACCCCACCAGTATTCAAATGTGGGCGTACCGGGTATTTGTGTCAAATTTGGTCCAGTGAATGAAAATACATCCTGCATATCAGATATTTACATTACGATTCTTAACAGTAGCAAAATTACAGTTATGAAGTAGCAACGAAAATAATTTTATGGTTGGGGGTCACCACCACATGGGGAACTATATTAAGGGGTCGCGGCATTCGGAAGGTTGAGAAACACTGTTCTAGACCATTTGGGGTAGAATCACTACTCCTGGACAATTGCCTGATCATTTAGAAATCCAGAAGTGCTACTTGACCCTGTTTGCATTGGCCTGTCAACTTGATGGACTCAAGTCATGGCCTGAATATGGCAAATTAGAGAGGAAGTAGACTCTGCGCTGAGAACAGGTATCAAGCAGAGATTCGGTTTTTTAGACTTCCACTCCCAGAATCCTTAACCATATGTCCACTGACCATGCTGGCCGGAAGATTGTCAGTGATGCAGTCCAAAAGTAATCTGTATTTTAAAGGTAACCCCCAGGATAATATTTTATCCAGCATCAAATGATAATATGAAGTCAAAGTTAGGTTCTTCAACATCTGCCAAAGAGGGCCGCAGAAGTCCAAATAGTAAAACAAGCCCTACCCAGAAACCCTGAGGTTTTTTTCCGCAGGCTGGTATTTGTGTACATTTTCTGTCTTTACGTTTATAGGGGTGCAAGGAACATCAATGGGAGATAATGAGCTAAAGGTGTAAGACATGAGCCTTTGGCTCTAATGCAGAAAGAGTCTGTTTCCAGATTAGAAAGGCATTCGGCTATTTGTCCACTCATGGATGTCCTTCTTGAACCTACTCAGTTTACATGACCACATCAGTAGACCGATGAACTGTGCCAGGTTGTTTGGATCCTCATGCTAATTCCTCACAATCCCCTAAATTAGTGCTATGTCAGGGGCATTGAGAACATTTATATGGCAGCTCTAAGCCATCCTGTGGAGAGGTCGTATGGTAGACATCAGGACAATGATGGCCATGCACAGAATTTGCATTGCTTTTAGCCTTGTGTTCTTGCATCATCCAGACCCTCCTTAGACATATGCCAGTAACTCATCATAACAACCTTTTAAATAGTAATTATTGTGTTTAATGTGGACAACAAGTTAAACATGAGCCAACAATGTGATGTGGCAAAAAAGCCAATGGGATTTTGGCCTGCATCAATAGGAGCATAGTGTCTAGATCTAGGGAAGTCATGCTACCCCTCTATTCTGCTTTGGTTAGACCACACCTGGAATATTGTGTCCAATTCTGGGCACCACACTTGAAGAGAGATATTGACAAGCTGGAATGTGTCCAGAGGAGGGCGACTAAAATGATCAAGGGTTTGGAGAACAAGCCCTATGAGGAGCGGCTTAAGGAGCTGGGCATGTTTAGCCTGAAGAAGAGAAGGCTGAGAGGAGATATGATAGCCATGTATAAATATGTGAGAGGAAGCCATGGGAGGAGGGAGCAAGCTTGTTTTCTGCTTCCCTTGAGACTAGGACGCGGAACAATGGCTTCAAACTACAAGAAAGGAGATTCCATATGAACATGAGGAAGAACTTCCTGACTGTGAGAGCTGTTCAGCAGTGGAACTCTCTGCCCCAGAATGTGTTGGAGGCTCCCTCTTTGGAAGCTTTTAAACAGAGGCTGGATGGCCATCTGTCAAGGGTGATTTGAATGCAATATTCCTGCTTCTTGGCAGGGGGTTGGACTGGATGGCCCATGAGGTCTCTTCCAACTCTTTGATTCTATGACTATCAATGACTGTAAAACACTTTATTTGACTCCCTTTTCCTTGCACATTTAGGATGACCAAACACCACTCCATATCTCCGCGAGATTGGGTAAAGCTGATATAGTGCAACAGCTTCTACAACAAGGAGCTTCTCCGAATGCTGCCACAACTTCAGGATACACACCATTGCATCTTTCAGCACGCGAAGGACATGAAGATGTAGCCTCAGTCCTTTTGGACCATGGAGCATCCTTATGTATAACTACCAAGGTAAGAGAGTGTTAGGTGCAGCAGGCAAAGCAGGTGGGAAACCTTTTAAAATCATTCTGGAGTGGCCAAAAACATCCATGCCAATGAATATAAATTGTTCCAAATGGACTACTGGATGGTAGGCTAACTTTCTGTTATGATATCAATACACCCAACATGGAGCCCCCGGTGGTGCAGTGGGTTAATCCCCTGTGCTGGCAGGACTGAAGACCGAGAGGTCGCAGGTTCGAATCTGGGGAGAAGACTTGATGGTTAATGAGAAGTACTGATGACAATGTCTCTGTTGCAGAAAGGGTTTACTCCTCTACACGTGGCAGCCAAATATGGCAAAATTGAAGTAGCCAACCTCCTGCTTCAGAAGAATGCATCTCCAGATGCTGCTGGAAAGGTAAGATGGGTGAAAGCCACTTTATAAAATAATAATAATAATAATAATAATACTTTATTTATATACCGCTCCATCTCCCCGGGGGGACTCAGAGCAGTTCCCAGGTAACATCACAAAACATAAAGTTAAAAAAAACAACATAACCATAAGATTAACAAAACAAAATATAAGCATAAACATTGTCGCCCTAACACACATATATTAAAAGTAATCCTGCCTGTTCAAGGCAATTAAAAAAATTAAAAGGCCAGGCCAAGATTTCTGAAAGCCCAAAAATTCTAGGGGGCCCGGGAATTAAGTGCAATGCTATGTCAGGCAACAATAATATTAGGTACGGGTCTGTGGCTGTTCATTCCGGGACCGATTAGAGGAAAGAATCTGGGTAATTGGTAGGAAGAATAAGGCCGTATTCGACAATGTGTAGGGCTGAGTTAGAATTGGTCATTTTCAAAGGCTTGTTGAAACCACCAGGTCTTCAAGCTCTTAGGAAAGGAGGGGAGGGATGGGGCTGTCTTATTTCCCTTGGAAGGGCGTTCCAGAGATGGGGGGCCACCACTGAGAAAGCCCTCTCTCTCATCCCCACCAACCGTGCTTGAGACGGTAGTGGGACCAAGAGGAAAGCCTCCCCGGAAGATTTTAGAGCTCATGCCGGTTCATAGAAGGAGATGCAATCGTGGAGATAGACTTTCTGCTTCTACAGACTGTGTCATGACTGGATTTTTTCACATATGAACCCTCCTGTGTGAAGGAGGCAATTTACGCCAGATGATACCACCTCAGACCAATGATTACCACATCTAGTGCCTGTCCTTCAGCACCGTGGTGGCATGATACCATTTCAAATTGGAACTCAGTCTTTCCATTATGAGTCTGACAACAACTACCAACAGTAGCAGCAGGTGTCTCTTGAATAGTTAAACGTCTTCATACAGATTTCCAGGTTTTTATTAAGTTGGTTCTAGATAATCAAGAGTGGTGGTATCTTGATTGTGTGCCTTCATAATCCATACAGCCTGTCATGACCTGGATCAGTGTGACCCACTTGCTGCCATAATCTATGTCAATCATTTTGTGATTACACATAAAACACACACACACAAATGTTTACATGAAAATAGGATTCTCTGGGTCAGACTCTAACTAATATTCTATGCAACCAGGCATGTAGCCAGGAGGGGAGCTTGAGGGGCTTCAGCCCCCCCCCCAAATTCTCATGGTGGTCCGCAAGAAGGCCTTACTGGTACATTATTTATGTTTATTCATATCATGATCTGATCACCATGCTCAATATATCCCATGTGCATGGGGTAACGATACAAAAGATTTGCTAGGCATCGAATTGTGCCTTTTGTAAGCCGCCCTGAGTCCCCCCTCGGGGGTTGAGAAGGGCGGGGTAGAAATATGCGAAACAAATAAATAAATAGACCTTCTTTCACTCAGACTCAGCCCCCCCCCCCCGAATCAAACTCAGCCCCTCCCGAATCAAAATCCTGGCTATGGGCCTGTGTGCAACGTTTTCCAAACCTGAATATTTTACGGGTGCGAGGAACTTCTGATGGGACAGAGTTAATTTCATGATCAGCCACTCATCCACTTTAAAGTTTCCTGCACACTGAAACTACGAGGGGTATTCTTTAAGTAAGGTCCGTTGGAACATAAGTACACAATGAAAGTTTATTTCAAAAAAGTAAATTTATTTTCAGAAAGTACGTACTTCACTCTATTTTTTGACATAGTTGCCAAGTTTGTTCAAACACTTATCATACCTCTGAACCAATTTTAAAATACCCTCTTCAGGAATCCTTGCTTCAACTAAAGCCACCTAATTGTCTGTAATCAAAGAAGGGCGACCGGAGCGGTCCTCATCATGGACGTGGTCACAGCCATCTTTGAATTGTCGTACCCACTTACGCACTTTGCTTTCACTCATAACAGTATCACCGTACACTTCACAAATCTGTCGATGAATTTCTGCAGCAGGCAGGTTCCTTGCTGACAAAAACCGTATCACTGAGCGAACCTCACATGCGGAGGGTGAGTTGATAGTCTTAAACATTTTTAAAGCAGAGAACAGAACCGTACAGGTTAGCTACAGAGCGGAAACTGAGCACAGTTGTTCCTGAGGCATGCCGGTACACGACGCACGCTCTCGTTGTGGTATGTGCGCAAACTACTAGTGTCTACAACAAAACGGACCTAACTTAAAAAATACCCCTCGTATTATGTAATGAAGAAGGCTGTGCTACGTCAATTCAATGTAATAGGTCTGTTTTAAATGTCCAGGGAAGTTTGTAGGAAAGCATGCAAACATACAGGTTTCACCCCATCAGCATCCTATTAAAATCCAGGAGGCATCCTGCTGTCTCTTAGAATCGGTTATTTGAGACTTACGAAAAGCATGAACAAATGCCAAAACAGTAGTTCTCACGTGCAATTTTGGGCGGTTAGTGATTATTATTGAAATTAGGCACCTCATTCTACCTCGGAATGTATGTGAAGGAGAGCATTTGCCTGCAAGTCAATAAGAATTTTGTGTCGTACAGTGTTGTTGTTGTTTTACCATTTCAAACCTTAGTTAATACCACAGTAATCTCACCAAATCTAGTTTAACCTACTTTTTTTTCTGAGCTTTTATGTAAAGTGGTTTTCTAACAATGCCTGTTTGTTCTGCATGTGTTTTTAGAGTGGTTTAACTCCACTGCATGTTGCGGCACATTACGATAATCAGAAAGTGGCACTTCTGCTCTTGGACCAGGGAGCTTCACCTCACGCCTCTGCAAAGGTACTGGTGCTTGCTCTGTAAAAACAAAAGGCCAGCCAGTTTACCTTCACACAGCCATTCCTCATCCCATCTTCTTTCATTTGGCCACGTCATCTGGCATCCGATTTGCTTGGTTGAGGACCGTATTACACAGACCTAGGTAAAATTAGAAAAGCTGCCTGGGAAAAGATTGGATATGTGAGTGACTTTGATGAAAATATTCTTCTCCAAAGGTTTATGACCACAACCTTTGGAGGAGAATATTTTCATCAAAGTCACTCACATATACGCAACCGAGAAGGTTCTGGGAAGGTGAAGAAGTTATATACGTGGTTAGCTTGTGTTTAAAAGTTTTATTTATTTATTTAGACGTTTTATATACCGGCCTTCTCACCTCAAACGAGGGACTCAGGTCGGTTTACAGCATGTATGCAAATACAATAATATACAATAACAACAGAGTGCAACATCATTACAGATTAAAATAGTACAGTAAAAACAACATCATCACATTACCCAAGCCAAGTCGTCAATACAGTCACAGTCATAGTCACAGTTCATCATCCTCCTTCCTTGTGGACGAAGGTTATAGATTCAGTCCTCGAATGCCACGTTCCAGAGCCAGGTCTTTATTAGTTTCCTGAAAGTCAGGAGGGAGGGAGCAGATCTAATCTCTAGTGGGAGGGAGTTCCAAAGCTGGGGAGCCACCACCGAGAAGGCCCTGTCCCTCGTCCCCACCAAACGTGATTGCGAGGGTGGTGGGACCGAGAGCAGCCCCCCCCCCCGAAGATCTTAATAACCTTGATGGTTCATAGGGGAGAATCCGTTCGGACAGGTTTTAACCTTCCATTCAGCCCAACAAAGTAAACTCACAATATACCATATATACTCGAGTATAAGCCGACCTGAATATAAGCCGAGGCACCTCATTTTACCACAAAAACTGGGAAAGTGTATTGACTCAAATATAAGCTGAGGGTGGGAAATGTAGCAGCTACTTGTCAATTTTAAAATAAAACTAGATACCAATAAAATTACATTAATTCAGGTACCAATAGGTTAAATGTTTTGGAATCTATATAAATAAAAATATAATGTTCGTTTGTGGGATTAACAGAACTCAAAAACCACTGGACGAATTGACACCAAGTTTGGACACAAGACACCTAACAGTCCAATGTATGTCCTTCACTCAAAAAAATTTATTTTGTCATTTGGGAGTTGTAGTTGCTGGGATTTATAGTTCACCTGCAATCAAAGAGCATTCTGAACCTCACCATGGAATTGAACCAAACTTGGCACAAGTTCTCCCATGACCAACAGAAAATACTGGAAGGGTTTGGTGGGCAGTGTCCTTTGGTTTTGGAGTTGTAGTTCACCTACATCCAGAGATCACTGTGGACTCAAACAATGATGGATCTGGACCAAACTCTACACAAATACTCAATATGCCCAAATGTGAACACTGGTGGAGTTTGGGAAAAATAGAATCTTGACATTTGGGAGTTGTAGTTGCTGGGATTTATAGTTCATCTACAATCACAGAGCATTCTGAACCCCACCAATTGACAGAATTGGGCCAAAACTCCCACACAGAACAGCCATGTGGTCCACAGCAATGCGTGGCAGGGGACGGCTAGTATTTACATAAAACTGTAATGTAAGACTGTCCAGCTCTGATGAAACCATTATTCTAGCCTCCTTCAATGTAAATGTGCTTACGTATCCTTCCAATAATAATAATGAGAGCAAAATAATAAATTGAATCTATATAAATAAAAATATAATGTTGGTTTGTAGTATTAGCATAACTCAAAAACCACTGAACGATTTGACATGAAATTTGGACACTACACCCCTAACAGACCAATGAGTGACCATCACTCATAACCCCCTCCCAAAAAACAGTGGAAATGACTTAAAACCCCCCAAAAAGTTAAATGACAATCTAGCGCATGTGCAAAAATGACATCTCCCAGCATCCCCTAGACCAGGCCCTTTAGGGGAGGAGGATGCTCTGAATGCACTGCTTCCAAGATGCAAGCTTGCTTCTCCTTGGATTTCTTTGAGAGCATCCCAATCCATACATATTTCCTATTTCCTATTCCTGGACTGCAACTCCCAGCAATCCTCCAGATAGATAGATAGATTAGATAGAGATAGGTAGGTAGATAGATCAATCAGGAGGACTGCTGGGAGTTGCAGTCCAAGAATAGGTAGAGAAGGAAGAAAGGAGAGAAAGAAAAAGGAAGGGATGGCCGGTACAGCTAGTAACAATAATAAATGTAATAAATAGAGTAAAATAATAAATGCAATAAAATAATAGAGTAAAATAATGTAAATGTAATAATATCAATAATAATAGAGTAAATAATAAATGTAATAAAAATAATAGAGTAAAAGAATGTAAATGTAATAATATCAATAATAATAGAGTAAATAATAAATGTAATAAAAATAATAACAGAGTAATAACATAAATATAATAAAAATAATACTAATAACAGAGTAAAATAATAAATAACCTTGGCTCAAGTATAAGCCGAGGGGAGCTTTTTCAGCCTAAAAAGGGAGCTGAAAAACCAGGCTTATACTCGAGTATATACAGTAGGTAAAACTTTAAAAAATGTCAGACCAATTACCCTAAATGTCTTGATGATTCATTATTTCATCCATGAACATAATCTTTCCATGAATCATAGACTTGTAGAGTTGGAATAGAAAGTTGGTCCAATCCCTACCATACAGTAATACATGACCAAAGTACTCCTGACTTGAGAGATGGGAAGGCATGAAAAAAACAGAAAAAAAGGGGGGGGGGTTAAAAAATCTATTTTCCCCCCAATGTTTCTATTTCCCCCCAGTCCTTTCCATCTCTACTCCTGACAGAAAGCCTCTGTTTAAAAACTTCCAGAGATGGAGACTCAGGCCCCTTCTCACTGCCATGTAATCCAGATTATCAAATCAGATAATCCACATCGGCTGTGTACTGGATTATATGAGTCTACACTACCACATAATCCAGTTCATGGAGCCCCCGATGGTGCAGTGGGTTAAACCTCTATGCCAGCAGGCCTGAAGACCGACAGATCTTTCCATGAATCCAGGGAGAGCGTGGATGAGCTCCCTCTGTCAGCTCCAGCTCCTCATGCAGGGACATGAGAGAAGCCTCCCACAAGGATGGTAAAAACATCAAAAACATTCAGGCGTCCCCTGGGCAACATCCTTGCAGACGGCCAATTCTCTCATACCAGAAGCGACTTGCAGTTTCTCAAGGATGGTAAAAACATCAAAAACATTCGGTGTCCCTGGGCAACGTCCTTGCAGACGACCAATTCTCTCACACCAAAAGCGACTTGCAGTTTCTCAAGGATGGTAAAAACATCAAAAACATTCGGGCGTCCCTGGGCAACGTCCTTGCAGACGACCAATTCTCTCACACCAAAAGTGACTTGCAGTTTCTCAAGGATGGTAAAAACATCAAAACATCCGGGCGTCCCCTGGGCAACGTCCTTGCAGACGGCCAATTCTCTCACACTAGAAGCGACTTGGAGTTTCTCAAGTCACTCCTGACACCACAAAAAAAAAATCTAATTTAAAGCAGATAATCTGGATTTTATATGGCAGTGTAGATCAGGCCTCAAATTGTGACGGTTCTGTAAGCACTTACTAAAGCCATCTTGTAATTTGAGACTTTCCATCTAATAATGAACATCAATTGTCCTAACCACAATGTCCTGCCAGTAAAGCTGTGAGAAAGGCATTGTAAGGAACACAAAACAGGACGCTCTACATAAGCCCAAAATGTAGTATATGACAATAGTATAAAATGAGACTGCCAGCATCCGGATGAAGACTAGAAGTTAATACTTTTGAGAACACTTGTTGAGATTTGGTGTTAACCACTGTTCTTAAAGGATAAGTTGTACTCTTACTTTTAGCCCCTCTGTAATGCACTGGGTATTCTAGGAGACACCTTGACATCTTCATAGTAGCTTAGCCAAATATACATTAATGCAGTGGTTCTCAACCCTTGGTCCACTAGATGTTTTGGACTTCAGCTCCCATAATTCCTAACAGATGGTAAGATGGCTGGGACTTCTGGGATCTGAGGTTGCGATCCATTGCATTAATATATCTCCATTGGTTAAAAAGACCTTATATTGACCTGGTTAGAGCTTCTAGGAGCTCCAAGGTCAAAAGTTGAGATCCATTGCATTAATGTATTTCCATTGGTTAAAAAGACCTTATATTGACCTGGTTAGAGGAGCTTTTAGGAGGCCATTCTGTGGCCATTATACATATAAAGATTGCTTTTTGTAATATATAGGAATAATAAGTAAAGTGGCTAAAAGATTTCCCAGAAGAACTTAGATCTAAGGCCTCGTTTCCAATCTGTTCTTCTTATGGGCACCAGCTTTATATCTGAGGGTAAAATGTCACCTGAATTGGGTGCATTTCGGTCTATTCTTTATTTTTAATCCTGTAACACGGGCCATAAAAGGTAAGCAAGAAAAAGTCCAGGTAAGATCCTTGCATGATTGTTTTATCCACCATCTCTGTGGCATCATAAGTGTTTGTGAGTTCCTTAGAAGTAGAAAAAAAAATCAAAATGTCCTCAGCACATTGCACTTCAGAGTACACCAGGCAATATGCAGTTAACAGTTTCTGTACATGGAAAAAAACAGAAATTTGAAGGGAAAAAATAGATTCCAGAAAGTGGTTATTAGACTCACGAGGAGAAAGCAATGTGAACTCTTCCCACCTCCAGCAATACATTTATCTTTTTTATATTATGAGGGAAATTATATTATGTGGAAGAGTTCAATGGTACTTGTTCCTAGATAAGCAGAGATAAGATTTCAGTGTTAGTCTCATCCATCAAAAATAAAAGTGACACCATTTTCATTAAAAAGTGAAATAGGCTTTTGCAAAAGTGACTACAATGTTTTGTCGAAGGCTTTCATGGCTGGAATCACTGGGTTGTTGTAGGTTTTTCAGGCTATATGGCAATGTTCTAG